TTTTCTTCTCTAGACTATAATGGTGCTGTGAGCCATTCTTCCTGGGTGCCTACCCCCACCCCTCCCCTTCCCACCCTGGCTGCTCCCTCCTGCTGCTTGGCTCTAATTTGCCCTATAGGACTAGCAGTGCCACTTAACTAGCTTTGTGATGTGGCCTCTCTTCCACATGCATGCAGTGGGTGGGAGGAGGGGAGCAGCATCTGTGGGGCCTATCTGGCTCTGAACAGTCTCTATTGCCTCTTCTTGTAGGCAGACATCAAACGCTGCCTCTGTCCCTGCCACACTGGCATCATCTGTGGACCTCGGTTTACGGTTCCCCAGATGTCGGAGCCTTCCCAGTATCCTGCACAGTCCGCTGCACACATGGCATTCATCTGAGGCAGATTCTCACCGTTTGTGGGTGGGTTTGCTTCTTCAGGGGGTAGAGAGTCTTTGGTTGCCAAGGGTGATAAATAAAGAGGGTGAGAAAATTGGGGATGTATCCTTTTTGGTAAAAATTAAAACAATGAGGCTTTTTAATGCAGACTAAAGGCTGTTGCACAAATGTTTTGAGCAATAGCTATGTTTTTGGAGTATGTTGTCACTGCTTGTAAGTACAGCCTTTGTTTGGATGTGTGAGTTCTAGAATGTTATGTAAAAAACAAGTGTCACTTCTCCGTAGTTGCATCTGGTAAAACAAGGATGCTTCCAGCATGTGCAGAGGTCATCTGTTTTATTGAGTATCAGTGGAAGCTTGGGGTGCATGAAGTTTTTGTTAAAATAGTGGGGATGAGGCATCACACTTCCTGATTTCAAGCTATACTGTAAAGCTATAGTAATTAAAACAGTATTGTACTGTCATAAAAACGGACAAATAGATCAGTGGAACAGAATTGAGAGCCCAGAAACAAACCCCAGCATATATGTTCAACTAATATTTGATAAGGGAGTCAAGAATACTCAATGGAGAAAAGACAGTCTCTTTAATAAATGGTCCTGGGAAAATTGAATATTCACATGATAAAGAATGAAACTTGACCTCTATCTTACACCACTCACAAAAGTTAACTTGAAATGGGTTAAAGATTTAAATGTAAGACCTGAAACCATGAAAATATTAGAAGAAAACAGGAAAAAAGCTCCTTGACTTAGGTCTTGGTAATAATTTTTTGGAAATCACAACTAACCCACAAGCAACAAAATTGCAAGTAAACAAGTGGGACTACATCAAACTAAAAAGCTTCCGCACAGCAAAAGAAACCATCAAGAAAGTGAAAAGACAATCTACGGAATGGGAAAAAATATTTGCAAACCAGTATCTGATAAGGGATTAACATCCTGGGGCCGGCCCCGTGGCTTAGCAGTTAAGTGCGTGCGCTCTGCTACTGGCGGCCCGGGTTCGGATCCCGGGTGCACACCGATGCATCGCTTGTCCGGCCACACTGAGGCGGCGTCCCACATACAGCAACTAGAGGGATGTGCAACTATGACATACAACTATCTACTGGGGCTTTGGGGAGAAAAGGGGAAAAAAAACAGGAGGATTGGCAATAGATGTTAGCTCAGGGCCTGTCTTCCTCAGCAAAAAAGAGGAGGATTGGCATGGATGTTAGCTCAGGGCTGATCTTCCTCAAAAAAAAAAAAAAAAAAGACGAGATAACAAATGCTGGCAAGGATGTGGAGAAAAGGGAACCCTTGTGCACTGTTGGTGGGAATGTAAACTGGTACAGCCACTATGGAAAATAGTATAGAAGTTCCTCAAAAAATTAAAAATAGAATTACCATGTGATTCAGCAATTCCACTTCTGAGTATATATCCAAAGGGAATGACAACACTAACTTGAAAAGATATCTGCACCCCCACATTCACAGCAGCATTATTTACAATAGCCAAGACATGGAAACAACCTAAGTGTCCATCGATGGATGAACGGATAAGGTTGTGATATATATATATATATGTACACACACACACACACACACACACACACACACACACAATGGAATATTATTTAGCCATAAAAAACGAGGAAATCCTGGGGCCAGCCCCATGGCCTCGTGGTTAAGTTTGGTGCACTCCACTTTGGCGGCCCAGGTTTGGTTCCCGGGCATGGACCTACACCACTCGTCAGCGGCCATGCTGTGGCGGCACCCCACATACAAAATAGAGGAGGATCGGCACAGATGTTAGCTCAGGGCAAATCTTCTTCAAGCAAAAAGGGGAAGATTGGCAACAGATGTTAGCTCAGGGCGAATCTTCCTCAGCAAAAAACAAAACAAAACAAAAAAAAAACCCGAAAAACCAGAAACAAGGAAATCCTACCATTTGTGACAACTTGGATGGACCTTGAAGGCATTATGCTAAGTGAAATAAGTCAGACAAAAAAAAGACAAATACTGTATGATCTCACTTGTATGTGGAATGTAAAAAAACCCCCCAAAAACCCACCAAACTCATAGAAAAAGAGATCAGATTTGTGGTTACCAGAGACGAGGGCTTGGAGGGAGGGGGAATTGGAGGAAGGTGGTTAAAAGGTACAAACTTCCAGTTATAGGATAAATAAGCACTAAGATCGTAATGCACAACGTGACTACTATAATTGAAAGTTGTTAAGAGAGTAGATCTTAAGCGTTCTCGTCACAAGGAGAAATTTTTTTCCTTTTTATTGTATCTGTGTGAGATGATGAATGTTAACTAAACCTATTGTGATAATCATTTCACAATATGTGTAAATCAAACCATCATGCTGTATACCTTAAACTTATACAGTGATGTATGTCAATTATTTCTCAATCAAGCTGGAAAAAAATGGTGGTGATGGTATCCCTCTCGTGAATTGCACAGTTAGGATAGGGCGGGTTTAGAATTTGCCTAAGATATCAGCTTCAGATCTGAACTCCAGCTTTGCTGGTAGGTGGGGCAGCGTCATACAAATGCTGAGGCTTTAGAGATAGACAGAGCTGAGATGGAGTGTTGGCACCAATTCAGTTATGTGATCCTGGCTGAGTACCCAACCTTGCTGAGCCTCCTTTCCTTCTTTTTAAATGTGGGAGGGAATAATGCCAACCTTAGGGGGTTGTCTTTTTTAAAATTTTATTTAAAACATTTTTAAATTGTGTTAAAGGTAACATAAAATTTGCTATCTTAACAATTTTTTAAGTGTTAAGTACATTCACATTGTTGTGCAACCAATCTCCAGAACTTTTTCATCTTGCAAAACTGAAATTCTATATCCATTAAACAGCAACTCCCCATACCCCTCACCCCAACCCCAGGCAAATACCATTCTATTTTCTGTCTCTATGAATTTGACAACTCTAGGTACCTCTTATACGTGGAATCATACAGTATTTGTCTTTTTGTGTCTGGTTCATTTCACTTAGCATAATGTCCTCAAGGTTCATCCATGTTGTAGCATGTATCAGAATTTCCTTCCTGAATAATGTTCCAGTGTATGTGTATACCACAGTCTTGTTATCCATTCATCTGTCAATGGACACCTGGGTTGCTTCTAACTTTTGGCTATTATGAATAATACTGCTATGAACGTGGGTCTACAAATATCTCTTAGAGACCCTGCTTTTAATTCTTTTGGATATATATCCAGAAATGGAATTGCTGGATAATGGTATTCTATTTTTAATTTTTTGAGGAACCACTATATTATTTTCCATAGCGGCTACATCATTTTATATTCCCAACAACAGTGCACAAGCGTTCCAGTTTCTCCGCATTCTCACCTATACTTGTCCTTTTCTTTTTTTTTGATACTAGCTATCCTAATGGTTATGAGGTGATATCTCACTGTGGTTTTGATATGCATTTCCCTAATTGTTAGTGATGAGCATTTTTTTCGTGTGCTTGTTGGCCATCTCTATATCTTCTTTGGAGAAATGTCTGTTCAGATCCTTTGCCCATTTTTTAATTGGGTGGTTTGTTTTTTTTGTTGTTGAGTTGTAAGAGTTCTTTATATATTCTGGATATTAACTCCTTATCAGATATGTGATTTGCAAATATTTTCTCCCATTCCATAGGTTGCCTTTCTACTCTTGGTTGTGTCCTTTGATGCACAGAAAGGTTTTAATTTTGATGTGGTCCAAGTTATCTATCTTTTTTCTTTTGTTGCCTGTGCTTTTGGTGTCATATCAATGAAATCATTGCCAAATGCAATATCATAAAGTATTTGCCTTATGTTTTCTTCTAAGAGTTTCATAGTTTTAGCTCTTTGGTTTATGTCTTTTATCCATTTGGAGTTCATTTTTGTATATGTTGTAAGATAAGAGTCCAACTTTGTTCTTTTGCATGTGGATATCCAGTTTTCCCAGCACCATCTGTTGAAAAGACTGTCTTTTCCCACTGAATGGTCAGGAAGTTGTTTTGTGGATGAAATAAAATCCTGTATGTAAAGCACCTAACACCATGCCTGGCCGTGGCTTAAAAAATAATGGTCCCTCTTCCTCCCCCTTATTCTAAATGTGGCTTTTAACTGCTGAAGTTGAATCATAATAATTATAATAGCAAATACCTAATAGTGCTGTCTCTGTGCCAGGCTCTAGTCCAAGTGCTTTTACGTATATTATCCCGTGTAATTATCATAACTGCTCTATGGGGTAGGTACTGTTGTTTTCACTAGCTTACCAGTGAGGAAACTGGGCACATAGAGGTTAAGTAATTCGCCCGGGGTTGCACAGCTAGTAAGTGGTGGAGCCTGTATTTGAACCCAAGTAGTTTGGCTCCAGAATCTGTGGGCTAGTAAACTTAACATCTCCCTGTTTTGGGTGATTTTTGATGGCTCAGGCCTGTCATGAGCCTGAGGGTGAGTTTGGTGAATAAAGGACAGTGATGTGACATCAGCCCTCAGGCCCGGATCTCTTGTAAAAGCAGCACCCCTAGAACTGCTGTGTTGGTTCAACCCATCTGCTTGAGAGGAGAATGTGGTGGTTCTGGTCCCTTCCTGTTTCTTGCCAGAGCCCCCTTATTCCAGGAGAAATGTAAACCAGTTTTCTCTCTGTCTTTACAGAAAAGGCAACAGATGGCTCCCTGCAAAGCGAGGACTGGACGTTGAACATGGAGATCTGTGACATCATCAATGAGACGGAGGAAGGGTACGTGTGCTCCCCCACCCCCTCCTGTGAAGCTTGTCAGCTCCTGGGTGTCACTCAAGGCCTCTTGGGGTTTAAGGGTGTCAGGTGTTTTACTTTTTGTTTTGTTTTTGGTGTGTTTGCTTTGGCATTTAATAAGCTGACACTCTTAATTATCTTTCCTCTTCCTGCCCAACTCCCCCCTAACTCCCCCGGTGGCAGTGCCTGAGTTAGACCAGTGATGACCTTTTAATAACCTGCTTTTGATCACAAGTGAAAACAAAGTTGCTTAGTTACTTGGTTCCCAGTGGTCGTTAGTCTCTGCAACCAGATCATCACCTCCTCTTGCCCCTCCTTCCCGGCCTCTGCCTCCCCTCCACAGATGTGGGGCTATCTCTGCCCTGCTTTGCTGGACTGGAGCCTCAGGAGTCAGAGAGAGCCCATGGTGTCTGTAGAGGAAGGCAGGGAGTGAGAAAATACGTGTGAGGCACAGAGCAGCCAGGGTTTCTGGCATGAGTGGATTTAACCCACAGGCCGCCTCTCTCGCATCCCTGGGCTTCCGGCTCTGTTCTTCTTGTTGTTGTGCACTATATATCCTCTTCTACATTACAGCTACATTCTAGTTATACTTCTTCCAAATTAGTCTGTATCTGGCCCTCTGTCCACACCATAAGAACAGAATTTGCTGTGGCCACGCCCTCTTGGTGAGGGGCGTGGTGAGGACAGCCTGGACTCGGGCAGCTATGGGCTTGCGTCTTGGCCCTGTCACTTACAGCCTTGCCATGACAAAGTGAGCACCAACCTCTTAAGGTTGGTCCTGCTCTCATTCAACAAATATTTGCTGAGTGACTGCTTTGTGCTGGGCCCTCCTGTCAGTACTGAGGACACAATAGTGAACAGGACAGGCAGACTCCCTCCCCTCGGGAGCTGACAGTCTCGAGAGGAGAGGCAGGCCATAAACAAGATAACTAGAACATGTAATGTGGTCAGCTGGTGAGAAGACTATGCAGAGAAATGAAGCTTGGAAGGGAGATAGGGAAGGAGAAGGCTGGGAATTGGCAATTTTAAATAGAGTAATCAAGGAAAGCCTCACTGAGAGGGTAACCTTGAGCAAAGCCTTGAAGGAAATGAGAGGGTGAGGTGTGATGGTTATACCAGGGAGAACTTTCCAGCACAGGGAACAACAAGCACAGAAGTCCTGGGAGAGAGGGTGTCCCATGTGTTTGAAAAACAGCAAGGAGGCTAGTGGGGCTGGAGTGGAGACAGAGAAGAGGGTGCTGGAGATGAGGTCAGAGATGTGAGGATCCAGATAACGCAGGCACCACAGGGACTCTTTGACTCAAGGTGAGAGGGGAATCCCTGGGAGGATTTGAGCAGAGAAGGGGCGTGGTCTAACGTTCATTTTAAAGAGATCATTCTGGCTACAGGGTTCAGAATGGCCTGCCTGGGGGTGAGCCAAGGGCAGAAACAGGGAAACCAGTTAGGAGGTTATTACAATAATCCTGTTGTGAGATGATGACCAGCTGTGACCAGGATGATAGTAGGGGGGAGGGAATGAGAATTGATCAGATTCTGAATGTATTTAGAAGGTGGAGCCAGTAGAATTTGCCAGTGTGGGCGTGAGAGAAGAGTCAAGGATAACTCCAAGGTCTGGGGTCTGAACAGCTACAGGGATGGCATAGTTATTTCCTGAGGTAGAGCAGGCCGAGGGTGCAGAGATCAGAAGTTCAGCTAAAATCCTTTAGATCTGCCAGTGAAGCCCCCGGGGGGCGTTGCTGACAGGGTCATGGCACGGAGGAGTCTGGAGTTGGGGCAGTGGCCTGTACTGGAGATGTAAGTTTGGGAGTCTTTGGTGAAAGATGGCATATTTCTGCCATCTAAATGTAGGTGGTCGGCTCGGTGCCTGGCACAGGGACGTGATTCACGAAGAGCTGTTGGGGACTATGTATTTCTAATACCATACTAACTGGCCTCACACTAGTCATCTTCCTCAGACCCACTTGGGCTCTTTTCTTCCTCATGTCCCCCTCAGACACCACTCATTCGCTCATTTATCCAGTTGTCCAGACACATTTATTGACCCCACAGTTGGAGACGCAGCTAGTTCCAGGATGCTAAGGTGAGTGCACCAGGGCCGCTCTTGAGGCACTCACTGGGCAGGACCAGGCAGGCTGTTGGCTGAGGCATGTGCACATTGCTGTGGACTCAGAGGGGGAGGCAGTGGGGATGCCTCCTGGAGGGGTGGGCTTCAGGCTGGGGTCTCAAGGATGGCGGGAAGAGAAGTGTGCCGTATAGCTAAGGGTGGCATGAAAAGGGCAGTGTGTCGGGGACACAGATGGTCTGGGTGCACAGGGAAGAAGTGGGGAAAGGGAGTGTCTGGAGCAGAGGCTGGAAAGGTGATTCAGGTCAGGTTGTGAAGCTTCTTCCTGTGTCATCCTCTAGAATCAGGCTGTGGTCTCCAGGTGATCCATCTACCTTTGCCCCTTTCCCTCTGTCCATTCTCCATGCTGCAGGCAGAGGGTCTCCTAGAAACTCGGAACCCATCAAGTCACTCCCTTGCTAACAAGCCTTTGCTCAGGGTAAAGGTCCTTAATGGCTGCTGTGTGCTACCCTGCCCCTGTGCTGCTGCACTGGGGGCCCTGGCCCCTGTCCTCACTCTTCAGCCCTGTTTCTGCTCCTTGAATTGCCCACATTCCTGTACCCAGTTTGCAGTTCTCCACACATCTAAAGGATATATCAATAGGTGTTGGAAAGAAGCTTCCTCATTCCAAAGGAGCTAAAGCCTCCCTCCGGGGTCTGAGAGGTGGGTCAGCTTCCCTTTCCAATCCTCAACTCACAGAAGGCCTGGTTGCACCTTCCTCTTAAAGCAGCCCACGCTCCTGTTCCTGAGTTTTTGAGGAAGAGCATCTCAGTGACTCCTGGGGGTTCTCTGTCCTTGCCTCTACCGTGAGGTCATGTCCAAATCTCTTCCTAAGTGGGAGAAAACCCCCACAAGTCCAGCTAACGCTCAGGTACCTGGCCCCTGCTGTTCCCTCTATTCCCCCTGACCTCTCCTTCCACTGATTTCTTGTCATTCACTGGATCTCAGTTTGAATCTCATTTCCTGGACACCCCTCTCTCCTAATTTGGGTAAGTTGCCTAGTATGTGATTTCATAATACCCTATATTATACTTAGGCTCATCACAGTTTAAACACATATTTTGACCTTTGTTAGAGTGTCTGTCTCGCCCCCAGTCCCTCCTAGACTGTGAGCTCCGTGAGGGCAGGAATTCTCTTTTACTCGCCATTTTATCCCCAGCACCTGCACAGTGCACACATAATTGGCTCTTAACAAACATTTGTTAAATAAGTGAATAAATGCATGAAGTCCCTAAGGAACCCATAGTCTGATGAGGAATGCAAGCATGCAAACATAATCATAACACAGCGTGATGAGTGCTCCAAGAGAGAAGCTGTAAATAGCTAAGGAGAGAGACTAGGGCGGTGGCAGCCGGCTGGCCTTGGGGCTATCAGCAGCGAAGTCTTCTTGAAAGTGGTGACACCCAAGTGGAGTCTTACATAATATGAGGGTGTCAGCCACGTGAGGTGGGTGTATGGCAGGGGAGACAGGGGACACCTAGGCTGGAGCTCAGTGTGTGCAATGTGTGCATAGGAAGGGACATGTAATGGTATTAGGGGCACAGAGCCTGACGCTACCCACCTGGGCTGGAATCCTAGGTCTTCCACTCGCTTGCCAGGTGACCCTCAGTGAGTTACTTCATCTCCTTTGTCTCAGTTTCCTCATTCATAAAATGGGGTACCATTAGTCCCTATCTTGTGGCTTCACTGCCCTTACCCTGTCTGCCATTCTCTGAGATTGCCATGTGCCAGTCCCCTGTGCTGAGCTCTGGAGTGCACCAGCTCATGCAGCACCCCCAACAGCCATATGAAGTAGGGACAGCCCATTTTAATGTTGAAAGAGTGGTTTGGTGGCTTGCCAAAGGTCTCACAGCACAGCTAGGAAGGGCAGATGTAGGAGGTAAGCCCAAGCGGACCTGGCTCCAGCCGCTGAAGCTCTGCCTGCACGTTTATTTATTCAGAGCTTCACCTCTGGGAGGCTCTGGTCCTGGAGGGAGCAGATTTGGTGAGCTGCCCCACAGGTCCCTCCCTGGGCTTTACCTGATGTCCAGGGCCAAGGTCACCTCCAGCCTGAGGCCTTGTGTGGCAGTCCCTCGTGCCTTGGATCCGTGGTCGTTAACAAGGAGTACCTGGCTGAATAAGTGACCAGGAATGTTTTAGACCCTGTTTACCAGGCCTCACCCAGAGCTACCTAATTAGGGCACAGACGTGTGCATTTGATAAGTGCTTTCCAGGCGATTCTGATGTGCAGCTCTGCTGAGGATCCGCTGACCTGGGTCATCTTCATGACCCTTCTCTGGACCTTGCCCAGCTTGTTGAATCTTCGTCTGTGCCTCAGCCTCTAAGCTGGAGGGGCCGCAGAGGAGTAATCACCAGGTGAATGCAGTGGAGCGAGGTTATACATAGTGGGTGTTCACGGTGGGGGGCAGCCATGTCCTCTTAGGGGATGAGGAGAAAGCGTCTCAGAAGCGGCAGTTCTGGGACCGCAGGACAAGTTGGGTTCCGTATGACTGCAAAGAAGGGCTCTTATGAGTCTGGGGTCAAGGAGGCTTTGGGGAGGCTAACGATGGCCAGAGGCCAGATCCTGAGGCTTTGGGGGCTGCCCTGAGGGTCCTGACCTTTCCTCCGAAAGCTGCCAGGGTGTTGGGGCACCTCACAGATGCCTTCCCTCCTAGTCCTTTCTTCCTGCTCCATCTTGGCTCTTGACTCTTCCTTCTCTCTTTTCTTCCTGTTTCTAACTCCATGCTGTCTAATCTGCTGCTGCTGCTGCTTGAAACTTTGCAATTCCTCTGACATGCCTTTGATCCTCCTCTCTGAAGCTTCTTCCCCAGGGAGAGAGATAAATACTTGCTTTTGTGCTCACCCAGTCACTCTCAGGCAGTACTTCCTGTGGATGAATTTTCACATTAACTCGACCCCTCCAGCCTGCTGACTCTGATTGCCCTCCACCAGCATCACCCCCACCCCGGGAGAGCTCTGAGTGTGCTGATGCTCTGTGAGCTGTAAGGGATCGCAGCCCTCGGAGGCTATTCCCGGTTTTCTGCTTCATGGAAGTTCGAGAGGAGAGGAATGAGACTGGGTTGAGAGGGATGGCAGCCGTGGGTCAGGGCTAACCGTGGCTTGGCAGAGCCTTTGAGAGAGAGGAATTTATCCATACTCCTGGCCAGTAGCTGCTGACCTTCATCAGCTCGAGTCCACAAACAATCCTCAAAGCGGAGATCTTGTCAAGTCCCATATTTGCAGAAATCAGCATCCCTGTTTGAAAACTGCAGCCATACTGCAAACACACTTGGCAGGGACCCATTCCCCAGAGAGCCTCATCGCATCAGCCCTCCAACTCAGGAGCCAAGAATTCCTGCAGGCAGCTGTGTTGCAAGTTGGGAATGGGAAATAGGTGACTCAGGGTGTTTTTTTATTTCCTTTAGAAGCCTTGCCTTGCTACTGTGTATTTCTGTCTAAATTGGGCTGACCAGCAGAGCTTCCACCTTCTCCTCCCCCTGCTTCCGCACACATATTTGAAAGGACTTTTTCGTTTCGTAAATAGATCACAAATATTTCAGAGCTATAGGAATAGGAGGTCCCTGATTTACGGACGTTCAACTTTGGAAAGACCCAGATATATTAACGTGTCGATGGGTGGAAGGCTGGAACCCACTCGTGATAGACAAGAGCAGGCCTGCAGCCGCATGGGACTCCCCAGAGTGCGGGTGATGGGCATCAGGGGCAGGGGCTTCACGCCAGAGGTAGCTTTTAGTCCCACAACTTGGTTGAATCCTGGCTTAGAATAAATTAAACAACGTGTTAGATGCAAGAGCTGCACCTAATAGGTGCTCTTAGAGGGCTGTTAGAACAGTGATTTAAGGAAGAATGTGTTCCAGTTTCCAAACAAGCACCTTGTGAAGGAGCTTTCGAACATGGCCCGTTTGTAAACTGGGGAGCGTGTAATTCTATGAGATTCCCTCTGGGAGTCCATATCAGATTCATTACCTAAGAACACACAATTCCTTGGTTTTGAGGAGACTGAAGTTTTCTCAGGGGAAAAGGAGTTTCATGGAACCAGGGAGGAGCTGAACTTCCAGGCCTAAGCAAGGCCTGGCCATTCTCTCTTCTGCGTCTCTCTCTGGTTTCTTCAGTATACCCACAGACCAGTGGGTTAGTTATTGTTTTGAATAAATAATACTTGCAAGTGATAGAAAATTCAAAAGGCCTGCAAAAAGGCAGTCCAGTGGAAAACTTCCCTTTCTCTTCTGTCACCCAGTTCCCCTCCTAAGGGGCAGCCAAAGTTCCCAGCTTCTTGTGATTCTCTGCCCCTTGCTGGGTGTGCCATGTGTATGTTCACAGTCTTTTTATAGCTCAGATAGTAGCATCCCTCCTGCACAGCTCTGCAGAGGACTCTATTCACGGGACTTTGAGTTTGCTCCATATTGCAGCTGCACAGTATTTCATTGTGTGCATAAACATGATTTAATTTGGTCATATCCATGGACATTTAGTTTGTTTCCAATCTTTTACATTTACAAACATGCTGCAGCAAATAACCTTGTATATATGCTAGTTCACACAAATGGGGGCAAATCTGCAGGATAGTACCCCAAACTAGAATTTGCAAGGATCTTAATATGTCCTTTTCTTCAGGCCAAAGGATGCCATTCGAGCCCTGAAGAAGCGGCTGAACGGGAACCGGAACTACAGAGAGGTGATGCTCGCATTAACAGTGAGTGCTGCCCTCTTGGAAGTGGGAAAGCGTCCGGGAAAATCCGTGCTCCTAGCCTTGCCCCACTCACAGGGCCTTCCCTCTGTCCACTCAGCACAGCCTCCTGTGGATGGTGTGGTGCGTGTGCTGCTGGAGTGCAGCAGAGCCTCCCCACAGTGCCCTTGGATTTTCTTGCCCTGCTCTGAAGTGGGGAGTGAGCTTCAATCCATGTATACCAGCAGAAGATAAGGCATGGGCAGCACTGACTAGTGCAGAAGCCCAGCGCAGAGAAGCCAAAGGCCTAGGTTTGGGTCTCCTTTTGGCCACCAGCCTGCTGTGAGACATCTAGGCTAGCTGCTTCACTGGCTGTCAGCTTCCTCTTTATAAAAATGCTGACTTCCACTGAGTACCTACTGGGGACTGTGCTGAGCTTTTCAGATGTTAATGCAAATGCTTACAATAACCTTCCAAAATAGGTTTCATCACCCCCCTCACACAGATGAAGAAACTGAGGCTCAGAGAGGTCTAGGGGTTTGTCCAGACTGCACAACTAGAGAGCTACCCAGCTGTGGATTATGGGGTAAAAAGTGATCACTGCTGCAGAGGTTCTTGAAAGAGTCAGCCAAGTGACTCCGTTCAGGAACAGACCAGATTTTTGCCCTCCTTAAAATGTCAGAAAATTAAAAGGGACCGCTTCAGGTGTTATTTCTGTCTTGAAAGGTAACAGTTTTTCAGATGTGGCAAAATCTGGGCCACAGTGAATTCTTATAATGGAAACTGTAACAGGTCAGTGTGTGGGCTTCTCTGTAGGTTTGAATAGTTTGTTATTTATCGGAGACAGCTATATCATGTTTCCTTTTACAGCAGAGAAACTGTTTGGATTTTTTGCCCAAGTGAAAACCCAAAACTTTTTAGGAGAGTTCTCTGCCAGGGAATTGAGATTTGAATAGTAAAGGAGAAAAAGACCAGTTGAGAAATAGAGAGTTGAAAGCTTTTGTTTTTTTCTCAGGATTTGAGCCATGGCATTCACTAAACCCAGAGTGATGCCCAAAATGAATTGTTTTCAGTAACTGAAGTCACCAGGGAGTGAACTCGCACGTGTCGGGACATTTTCCTGGGCTCTAAAGCCTGTCACTTGACGCGCCCAACTTCATGGTAACTGTAGTGGATGGAAAGCTTCCTAAAGTGGTCTCTGCCGTTACTTCCTTCCCACAACAGAGCATGATAAGCATCGTTTTACCTTTCCTGATGGTCTTTATTATTATTATTATTATTATTATTATTATTATTCCCCCCCAGCTTTATTACAATATTATTGACATATAGCGTAAGTAAAGTTTAAGATGTACGATGTGATGATTTGATACACGTATATATTACAAAATGATTTCCACAATAAGGTTAGTTAACACCTCCATCCCCTCTCATAATTACCTTTTTTGTGTGTGTGGTGATAGCATTTAAGATGTACTTTCTTAACAACTTTCAAGTATATACTACAGTATTATTAATTATAGTCACCATGCTGTGCATTAGATCCCCAGAACTTATTCATCTTATAGCTGGGAGTTGTACCTTTGACCAACATCTCCCCTTTTCCCCCACCCCCTAGCCCCTGACAACCACTATTCTATTCTGTTTCCATGAGTTTGGCTTTTTTAGAGTCTACATATAAGCGAGAACATACAGTATTTGTCTTTCTCTATCTGACTTATTTCACTTAGCATAATGACCCCAAGTTCCATCCATGTTGTCACAAAAGTCAGGATTTCCTTTCTTTTTAAGGCGGAATAATATTCCATTGTATATATATACACTACATTTTCTTTATTCTGTTCACTCGTCAGTGGACACTTAGGTTGTTTCCATGTCTTGGCTATTGTGAATAATGCTGCCGTGAACATGAGAATGCAAATCTCTCTTCGATATCCTGTTTTCATGTCCTTTGGATGTGTACCCAGAAGTGGAATTGCTGGATTGATGGTAGATCTATGTTTAATTCTTTGAGGAACCTCCACACTGTGTTCCACAGTGGCTGCACCAATTTACATTCCCAGCAACAGTGCCCAAGGCTTCCCTTTTCTCCACGTCCTTGCCAACACTTGTTGTCTCTTGCCTTTTTAATAGTAGCTGTTCTAACAGGTGTGAGGTGATACTTTATTGTGGTTTTGCTTTGCATTTCCCTGATGATTAGTGATGTTGAACACCTTTTCATGTACCTGTTGGCCACTTGTGTGTCTTCTTTGGAAAAATGTCTATTTAAGTCCATTTAATGTCTATTTAAGACCAATGTCAAGGAGCACTTTCCCTATGTTTTCTTTTAATAGTTTTACAGTTTCAGGTCTTACATTTAAGTCTTTAGTCCATTTTGAGTTAATTTTTGTGAATGGTGTAAGATAGTGATCCAATTTCATTCTTCTGCGTGTGGCTGTCCAGTGTTCCCAGCACCATGTATTGAAGAGACTATCCTTTCCCTATTGAGTCTTCTTGGCTCTCTTGTCAAATATTGGTTGACCGTATAGGTGTGAGTTTATTTCTGGACTCTCGATTGTGTTCCATTGGTTTATGTGTCTGTTTTTCTGCCAGTATCATACTATTCTGATTACTATAGCTTTGTAATATAGTTTGATATCAGGAAGTGTGATTCCTCCAGTTTTGTCCTTCTTTGTCTGTGAAATTATAGATGGCTTTGGGTAGTATGGACATTTTAACAATATTAGTTCTTCCAAGCCATGAACACAGGGTATCTTTCCATTTATTTGTGTCGTCTTCAATTTCTTTCATCAATGTCTTATAATTTTCAGGGTATGGATCATTCACTTCCTTGGTTAAATTTAGTCTTAAGTTTTTTTACAGATCTTCCCTGCAGATCTAGTGATGCCGTTGGGAGACTTATGAAGTGTGTAGATCCATTGTCCCTGCATCAAAGGCCCCAGCCTGGTGCACATTACGTGGTCTCATGTCTGCTTTTATGGCTTCTCTGTCTTGGTCTTCACTTACCCTGTTAGTCGCTCTCAGTCTTCCTGCTACTTGTGGGCCTTTCCTAACTTCACATCTGTACCTGCCAAGATTGTTAATATTTACCCAAAATAGGAGTTAGTCAGAGGCCCTGAGGGGCTCTCTGCTTGGGCCTTAGTGAATGGACTTGAAATGTCTATTTCTGATTGCTTGGAGTCTCCTTTTGCTTACTCTGTGGGCTTTGACTACATTCTAGAAAATTGCCACTGTGTGTTTCACGCCCTACAACCCGCAGGGACAGGTTTGCCAAGGGCCTTTTTGGCAGAGTGGCCTGAAGTGGACCACCGTGCCTCCTCGGCTGAGTGGCCCTTGCCAGCTAGGGAGGACCTCCTGCTCTCCTAGGCTTCAGAGCTTCCCTGTAGCACATGGCCCCCTGTCCAGGGCATTTCCAAGCCTGTGTACCTGAGCCCCAAAGGCCAGGCTAGGACACTGACTTTAAAGTCTGCCAACTAGGAAAACGTAAGGATGTGTTCCCTGAAGGTGAGAAGTGCATCCTGGCCCACTGCTGCCCTGAGTGTGGAGGCACGCCACAGCCACTCCCACCTCAGCCTTCCTGCTCTTCTTTTTTTTTTTTTAAAGATTTTATTTATTTATTTTCCCCCCAAAGCCCCAGTAGATAGTTGTATGTCATAGCTGCACATGCTTCTAGTTGCTGTATGTTGGACACGGCCTCAGCATGGCCGGAGAAGCGGTGCGTCGGTGCGCGCCCGGGATCCGAACCCGGGCTGCCAGCAGCGGAGCACACACACTTAACCGCTAAGCCACGGGGCCGGCCCCTTTCTGCTCTTCTTTTATTTATTTATTTGTGAGGAAGACCAGCCCTGAGCTAACATCTGCCAATCCTCCTCTTTTTGCTGAGGAAGATTGGCCCTGAGCTAACATCCATGCCAATCCTCCTCTTTTTGCTGAGGAAGATTGGCCCTGAGCTAACATCCATGCCCATCTTCCTCCACTTTATATGGGACGCCACCACAGCATGGCTTAACAAGCGGTGCTTCGGTGCGCGCCCGGGATCCGAACCGGCGAACCCCGGGCTGCCCCAGCGGAGCACGCACTTAACTGCTTGCACCACCGGGCCGGCCTCCTGCTCTTCTTTTTCCGTGTTCTCTCCCGCCATGCGTGCTTTCCTCCCCAGCCTCCTGCCCTTTCCTTTCCCACCTGCTCCTTACAAAATAAACCGTTCTTCCTGCCACCTGCCTCAGCCACAGCAGCCTGCATAGAGGCCATTAGGAGTTAAGAGGAGGCTTTTAGAGGATCCTAGGAATAAGGGCGACTGTGAGTTCCTTGAGGACAGGAAGAATCCCACTGGGTCATCTCTGCAGCCCCCGCCAGTCACTGTGAGAGAGAATGCTGGCTACCTCATGCTCACCCACAATCAAGCACAAGCAGAGGCTAAGAGAATGCCCCCGGGCTGAGGAACACCTCAGCGGCCCGCGGATGCTGAGCTGTGGAGTGCTCCTCGGCAAGCTGAGCGGAACGCGGGGTCTCCCACGGGGCAGCAGCAGTGGGAACATGGGAACAGTGTGACTGGCTGCAGGGCTGCCAGGCTCGGGGCCAGTCCCAGCTCTGGCCTCCTCAGTCAAGTTGCTGGCACCTCCAAGCCTCAGCTTCCTCATCTCTAAAATGGGATAATGCCCACCTTACTGGGTTATTTCAAGGACCAAATGAGGGAACAAGAAACTCAGCACACATTGCCTGTCACCCAAGAGACTCTCGGCTAGTCGTGGAAGAGAGTTATGAGGGAGGGATGGCCCCGTGGCCTCGTTGTGGGTGAGGAGACGGGGGCTCCCGAGAGGGCTGATTGGAGCTGCCGTCCTGCTTCTGGCACTGACCAGCAGTTTGTACCTCGACCAGTTTCTTCACCTTCCTAAGCCTAACTCTAAAAAAACGAATGGGATAGTAACTTAAAGAGAGTTGATTAGTTGTGAGAATTACATGAAATTATATAGAATGTGAACGAGTCCCTCACAGTGTCTGGCATATTGTCTGCGTTTGGACCTTTCTTTATGGCCTTGCTTTATGGAGGTAAGGCCTCACTGTGTGAACAGCCAGCCCTGTGGAACGGCTGCGTCAGGCAATCAGTGGTCAGGTTAGGTTGGGCAGATGAGGATAACCCCCACAGTGAGAGCTGTCCCCTGTTGCTGGTGACATCCTTCCAAGGAGGCATGCCCCAGTAGTCGACTGTGGCACTGGGGGCTGCTGGTGTGGGAAGGGCCAGGTCATACCTGAAGGTATGAGTTGGTTTACAGAGAGCTGAGAAGCTCAGAAAGCTGTGTTCCAGGCTGGAGAGACCCCCCAGTTGGTACTTCGGAATTCTACGGGGCCTCTCCCCTGTCCTGTGGGGACTGAGAAGCTGTCCCTTTACTCAAGTGTGTGCAGCAGCCTTATGAATATATATCGTCATAACCCTCATTGACTAACTCCTCTCCCATGCAGGGCACTGTGTTAGGTGTTTCACACACACACTCTCTCATCCTTACTACAGTCCTGCAAGGGGACACTCATGTGCCCACTTTACGGATGAGGAAGCTAGGGCTCAGACAGACTTGTCCTGGGCCATTCAGGGAGAAAGTGATGGAGCTGAAATTCAGGCCCACGTTGGCCAGCGGCCAGAGCCATACACCGTGCTTTTCTGAGGGGCTAAGGCCTGTGTAACTCATTTCTCCAGACATGGGAGGAGCGGGCAGGGTTTGAAGCAAACGTGGACCTTAAAGCCAACTGGCAGCTGAGGCCCACAAACCATTTATTAAGGGTAGAAAATCCTTTGTCATTGCCAATTTTAGCTGCAGAAGCAGGGTTGTGTGGGGTGTGCAAGGTGTGTGTGTGTTTGCTTCCCCACATACAAGGTCCAATAACTCACTAGGCAAGTCAGGCTGTCACAGCAGCCTTCTCTTATGACAGAACCTTTGTTGGCTAATGCCTCACACCCAGAAGCCCAGAGAGAGGAGTTAAAATGCTGATTTTTCAGGGACCAGTCAGTCGCTTTGATCCCATTAAAACACCAGCATTCTTCTCATGCAAAACTGGTGCCTCAGTTACCAACTAATTGCCTGATTATTATGCAGAGAACAGGAGACTTTAGTCAGCAAGGTGCTGCCATCATCCTCAAGGAATGACTGAATTAGCATGTGGGTATGCCTGTGCCATCTCCATTTGATTGTGGAGGAGACGGTCAGAAGGACGATCTGGGAGAAGGAGACGGGTGGTGGAAATTCAGCTGCCCTCCTCAGTTCCTGGCGGCTCCTCTAGCTCCCACGTGGTGACCTCTCTTTCCTCTCCCCAACATCAGGTGCTAGAGACATGTGTGAAGAACTGTGGCCACCGCTTCCACGTTCTCGTGGCCAACCGAGATTTCATCGACAGTGTTCTGGTCAAAATCATCTCTCCTAAGAACAACCCTCCCACCATTGTACAGGACAAAGTGCTCGCTCTGATCCAGGTGGGTCGGTTCCCCTTGTCCAGTTTGTTGGGACAGAGTATGATGGAGCCTCTTATCAGTGAGTCCTTATCAGTGAGTCCTTATCAGTGAGTCCTTCTGCTTTCCCATCATTCAGAGGAAAGAATGGAGGCTTCTGGGTTTAAATATTTCTTGCAAAGTACTTATTTTTTTACACTCATCCCACTGTAATGAAACCCTAAGTGGTGGCTCTACAGCCAGTGGACAGAGCCTTCATTGCACTTTTCTGAGAGCCTGGCCCTCTGCTGCCCACAAGGGCAAGTGGGGGTCCTTGACAGGTCTCTGAGCCATCAGGGACAATGTGGAGTAGGACGGGCCATATTAGAGCCCTGTTCAGGGCTGGCGAGTTGGAGGGCAGGTGGGGCAGGATAGGGGGAGATGGTGTTAAGGATTGATTCACTGAGGAGACAACATTTCTGTTGGATCCTGAAGGATGATGAGGAGCTTTGTGGAAAGGTCCAAGTGTGAGAAGCATTGCAGGCAAAGAGAATAACATGTGCAAAGGCCCAGACACATCAAAGAGAGCAATTGACGTGTTTGGGATGTATTCATTATTAATTTCTCTGTAACAAATTACCTCAAAACTTAGCAGCTTAAAACAACAGATGTTTATTTTCTTGTAGTTTCTGTGGGTCCAGAATTCAGGAATAGCTTAGATGGGTGATCCTGCCTCGGGAGCTGTCATGAGGTTGCGGTCGGGATGTTGGCCAGGACTGCCTCATCTGAAGGCTCAGCTGGAGCTGGAGGAGCCGTGTCATGGTTTTAAAGCATCCGCTTCTCTTTAAGAGCTGCAGTCTAATTCCCCTGCTCTTCAGGCTGGACTTGGTGACTCTCTTCTAACAAATAGAGTATGGCAGAAAAGGTGGTGTGTGACTTCTGAGAGTTAGTCATAAAAGGTGCCACAGCTTCTTCCATACTCTCTTTTGGATCACTTGTTCTATGGAAAACCAGCTGCCATGTCATGAGGACACTCAAGATGTCCACATGGTGAGAAACTCAGGCCTCCTGCCAACAACCATGTGGGTGAGCCATCTTGGAAATGACCAGAGTATACTGAGGAATGTCTGGGGCCAGGCTTGTGGCAGGGAGGGAGGCAGGAGATGAGGCCAGAAGGATGGCCAAGGGCTTGTGGGCCGTATATGCTGAGGAGTTTGTGCTTTGTCCTGTAGGCAGTTGGGGGGCATTGAACCTCTTTGAGCTGGTGTGCAAAGTCAGATCTGGATTTTAGACAGAGGACCCTGGAGACGGGGTGGAAGGCATGTAAGTCAACAAGCACATCCAACGTGGGGCGAATAATGCTGTGGTAGAGGAAAGATAAAGGCCTGCAGGAGCCAAGAGGCGAGAGGAGACCAACCCAGGGGGTGGGAATGGGGCTGAGAAGGCAGGGGGCAGTGTGATCGGGGGTGGGCATGGGGGCTCTCGAGGTAATGGTGGCACCTGAGGTTGGAGAGGAGAGGGACCCGAGCCAAGGAGTCTGTTGGCTCTGTCCTTTTTTCCTGTGCCCTCTGCCTGAAAGTCCTCCCCAGCTCTTGGGGTAGTTGACTCCTCTCCCTCATTCAGACAGCCCTCAGAGGCCTCCCCACCACCCCGTTTCCAGCACGCACCTCGCTCCCATCACCCTCCTTTAATGGTCTTCAAGTACTTTTGTGCTGACTTTTCTATCATCTGCCTCACTCTGAGTTCCCTGAGAGCTAGGGACATTACATCCTCCGGTCTAGAGCGGTTGACTGGGTAGAGCAGGTGTTCAGGAAGTTGTTGTTTTTCTTGAAGAATGGGTGAATGTGGTTCGCAAAGCTCTGAGAAAGGGGAGGAGTGTGGGTGACAGCAGAGCCCCTCCCGTGCTTCCTTAGGTTGTCCCTGTCCCTTCACTCTATCCGCCCGGCATGTCTTTTTCTCTCATCTGCCTGTCTGTCTCTCTCTCACACACACAAACACACTACCTCACCCTCTGCCCTCCCCATCCCCACCTCCACCCCCCACAACCCCCTCATTCCCCAGTACGCTCCCCTGCCTCAACACCCCCAGTAATTGATGTCAAGAAAAAGAGTAGCGGCTTTTTCTCACAAAAGGTGGAGCACCCCAGCCCTGAACCCCTTATGTGTGGCCACAGGTGGGGTCTCCTGGAAGGAGCACTTCCTGTGGTGAGAGCTTCCCTCACCCTCAGCCAGGTCCAGGGGTTGGTTGGCGGCCCCCTGGCAAGCACAGCTGTGGCAAGGGTCATGATCTGCGCTGCCCCTGCTGACTATGTGGGGACCCCTGCTGAGGTCAAGGAGAGCCTTCTGCACTGGCTGTGCCCCTGGCTCTCCCCAGGAAGTATACCAGCCAGTGCACCCTGGCCTTGACCTCTGAAGCTTTCCCATCGAGTCACCACCTCTTCTCAGCACTGCTGTATAACCTCGAGGCTGGTGTTTTAACTTCTCTGGATTCTCCCTCTTTATCTGTAAAATGGGGTCTGAGATCAGCCCACAGCAGCACAGTGGCCTGCACCTGTGTTCCGAGGACTCCCCCTGCCGGCCTGGCAGCAGCATGTGCGCCCACCCACCCAGGCCGGAGCGGGATGGGGCCTTGAGGGCTTCTCAGGCTCCTGTCTGGCCAGGATATGCTGGACACAGTCCCCCTGATCCAGCTGGGTAAACGCAAGGAGCTTTCGGTAAGGATGCTTCCAGGTGGGCTTGAAGACTTAACTGGGGAGAGTTTTTCCTCTCCAGGTTTTGAAGCTTTCCTGAAGAACTTGCACCTTTGGTCATGGCCACCCAACATGGAGAAAAGCAGGCAGCATTCAGAGCTGGCGGATGGCTTGGCTTCTGTAATGGAGTGAACCAAAGCATAAACAGGATCCTCGGCGTTTTTTTTACTTTTTATTGAATCATAATATATATACAGGAATCACACATAAAAAAAGCGTATACAACTTGATAAGTTTTTACAAACTGAACACACCCATGTAACCAGCCCTTATGTTGTGAAGCAGAATGTGACCAGCACCCAAAAAGCCCTACCCCCCTGGGATGACCACCCGCCTGACTTCCCACAGCCTAGATGCGTTTTTCCTGATCTTGAACTTTGACTGCATGGCCTTAGGATGTGGCAGGGCTCTGTCGTGTCTGTGTGTCTGGCCCCGCCGTGTCTGCAGGCCTCCCCTCATCTGCTGTGACCATAGGTCTTCTGTTACCATCGCTCATATGGCTGTGCCGGTCCTCCTGGGTGGATGTGGCATGGTTTATTTACAGCTCCACTGTGGATGGGCACTTGGTGTTTCCAGTTCTGGGCCATTATGAAAAATGCGGCTGTGAGGATCTAGCTCATGTCTTTTGGTGAGCACACGTGTTTGTTTTTATTAAGTTGAATATGTGAAACTGCCGTGTTTGTTGGTCAAAAATGGTTGAATATGAGCAATTTCATATGGTTCAACCTAATGCCCAGGAGAGAATTTACTGGGTGTTGGGGAATGCGCACACTCCGGTTTAGTAGTCTTGGGTGTTCTCTTCCACCAGCGTGCGAGAGTTTTAGCTGCTTCACATCCTCACCAGCGTGTGGTATTTTCCATCTTCTTCATTGTAGCCCAGCTGATGAGTATGTCGAGGTATTGCATCCTGTCAACCTTTTTTTAACTCCTTTGAGAAAGAAGATGATTTTATTTACGTGTTGAGTATACTTTTAAAAACTGCATAAGGCCCCAGAGAGTCTGATAATTCCCCCTGGGAGAGCAAGTGCTGCTCCCGCTATGAGACAAGAGTGGGGGTGGAGGTGACAGATCACTGGCTCTCTTGCCAGCCTGTGAGTAGGCAGCAGTATCATATAAATACTGCCAGACTGAAAAGAGGTTCGGCTAAATGTGTGGGTGCCAGAACCGTGAGGGATTCTTCTTCACCATCCTCGTTATCAGGATGTTTCTTGGTGCTCTCCAGAACCCGGCTGCCGGGAAGTGGAGCTGGGTCAGTCCTGGCCCTGCCTGCCAGGAGCTGGCAATTTAACAGGGAGACCGAGGTTTGTGGATGATAGAGGGCCAGGACCTAGCCAAGGAGGACTTGGGCCAGCTTTGGAATATTCGAGGGGCAGCCCTGAATTCTGAATGTATTGGCACTTGAAGAGCTTTTAAGGCGAAGGGGCTGCACAGACAAGTGCCACCCCCCCACCCGCCCACGAAGCATGGTTGGGGCTCCTGGCAGAGGTGGAACCTGTGGCTCTGATCACCAGCCTCCGGCCTGAGCCCATTGACCCTTTGGTTGCTCCCTGAGGATGGATGCAGGACTGCAGCCATGTTGGGGACAGGGAAGGGGTCGGTCTCCAAAGCAGATTTTCTAAGATCTCCCTGTCCCAGTGGGGAAATGGGTGATAGAGCTTGTCCTTCCATGTTCCCTGGGGCCCCCAGCCCAGTGTCTGTTCTGAGTCCCTTCCTAGGATGCTGATCACAGGCATCGTCAGCCTAGGATTAGCCACAGCCTAGGATTTGCATTTCGGTTGCCATGTTTGCCAGCAACAGCCCTCTGGGTCAACTGTGAAGAGAATCAGTAGGTGCCCGTCCTTCCTTTCTCTCCAGCACTCCATCTTTCCCGCACTCCGTCCCTCCTCTCATTGAGGCACCAGTGTCCTCTGGCTGCTGTCTAGCCATCCATAACCACGCCATCTCCCCCAGCCCCCAAAAAAAGATGCCCCTCGGGCTTGTGTACCCCAGAGGCCTTGCCCTTCAGAGTGCCCAAGGAGACCACCCTCCATTTCCCCCAGGTGAGCCCAGTGTGGGAGCTCTGTGGCAGTCCTGTTCTGGAAGCCTTTACCCGACTCAGGCGTGAGGGCTAGGGGCTTACCCCACCACAGGTGTTTGCCTTTTTGGAGTGGGACAGTCTCCCTGGTAGCATAGGAGGAGAGATGTTGCCAGCAGAGCAACCTCATGAGCAGCTTGGCAACCCTCTCACTCCCAGCCTTGGAACTGCCAGCAACTTTTAGCTTTAGCCTGTGAGTTTTCATATGGTCCCTTGGCTAACGTTTTGGCTGTGTTCCTTTCTGTTTCCTCATGTTAAGTCTCGTTTGTTGAGAAGACAAGAAAGGTACTCCCACTCTACACCATCCCTCAGCCTTTCCCTCGAAATTGTTTTAGGAACAGAAGTGATATCATTCTGGTACAGTAACCACGTCATGATCATGCCTCTCCTGCCTCCCTCCTAGCTCTCTTCACACACCCTCACCCCCCATCCCCTGTGCCTCAGCAGTACAGTCTAAAAATACTCTCTTTCCACTGAAGGTTTTTCTTTCCAGTGAGGAAAGTGAGCTGATTGGGGTGTGGGTGGGGCAGGAGGGGCCAAGGTGTTGTGTTCTTGGAAGGTCTCAGAGACCTGGTGGCTAAGCCTTTGGCCAGATTCTGTGTGGATGGGCAGCTCCTCGGGGACCCTGTCACTGGGAACAGGAAGTCTGGTCCAAGGGGATAAGCAAAACATGACAGAAGCCTCCTTTTGTCCAAAGAACAGAACCTATATTAGCAATCAACAATCTTTTATTGATCTGAAATTTGATGATTTAAAACTTTGTCAAAACTTGAGAGCTACAGAAATGCATAAGATATGGTTCATGTTTGTATAAGGTTTTAGTCTGGGGTTTGGTGTATAATCCAAAGGAATGAAGGAGATAAAAACAAGAATTTTTCTCTCTGTTTTTTTTCTCCTCACTAGACCTTCCTCTGGGTCTTTCAACCCCCTAACTCTATAGGCACAGGCAGGAAAAGGGAGAATTACAGAAAGAGCAGGGAGGTGGCCGCTCAGTCTTAAGCAGCCACCACCTGTGACAGGGACCTCTCAGAGGGGGTCTGCTTTCTGATAGGGCAGCCTGTCAGCACCACCTCTGCAGTTCCCTGGCTTCAGATTGGGAACCCAGAGCAAACCAGACCTTCTGAGGCTTGCCACGTCTCCCCTAGAGTGGATTCTCCATTCTCAGCTGGGTCAGCTGTCTGGAGGGGCTCCTGCTTTATCACTGTCACCTCAGTCTGTTGACAGCCTAAGTGGCCATCTTCCTCTGTTCTCTGAAGTAGGACAATAAGGATGCTTCGTAACCGTGAGCACTGAATTCAATCTAACTTGACAAATGCTGACTGACTGCCTTCTCTTTGTAAGGGCAAAACTCAGTGTGTGCCTTCAAAGGTATGACCTCGTGGGGAAGAAGACAGGAGCACAGGTATTTGGGCATTATCCCAGGAGGATGCTAGAGGCACACAGCATCTCTGGATTTCTCTCACTTCTGCATTTCCACGTATGACTATTCCTTTAAACGTGCCTCTCTCCCGGTCTCCCTGTTGGCATCAGAATCTTGTTCGTTAGAGAGTGCTGCCATGAATATATGCTTTGTTAGGAGCCACCTCACCTAAACTGCACAGGGATCCCATACAGAGGCTGAAATAGCGGCAGATGGGAGGGGTGTGGATTAGCTAAGACTGCTTGGTTGCAAATAACAGATGCCAACTCCGGCTTGCCTAGGCAAAGAGGAGAGTTTGTCATGACAAGGCAGGGCTCCCCAGAACCCTGGGGTGTGGCTGGGTCTGGGGAAGGGACAAAAGGGATCAGGAAAGCCCTCCAAATCCTCTCCTGTATGTCTGCACCTCTCAGCACACCAGCTGCACCTTTCCAAGGGCATAGGCTATGTCTGCTCTCTGGTCCTAGGCTGGCACATGGTTGCCTCCCAGGGCCCCTATCTATAGAGGACAGTTTCGCCTCCCCAAAGACAGCAGCACAGCCCTCCCCGGGCCCAGGGCCACGCTTCTGGGAGGAGGAGAATCTGATTGGGCCAACTTGGGATGCGTGTTTCGCCCTCCCTTCTCGGTGCTGTAGAAGGGGGCCCTGTTGACTCACTGTTTGGGCAGATGCCCCAAGGAGTATCCACTGACTGGAGAGAAGAGTGATGGTTCTTTAATCTTCGTTCTTCTTATCTCAAATTTGGCTGGGATGGAGAGCAAGGTAAATTACAAAGGGTCCCCTGGAGCTTTGTCCTCCCATAGAAATAGAGGCCTGAAGCGGCACCAGGAGGAGCTGTCTTGCTTTTTTCTCCCCAGCTTCCCACAACAGGCTGTGAAACTGGTCTCAGACTCTAAAGTTTAGACCCCAAACTAAAATGATTACACATTTTGAAGCTAGAGTCACAGGAGTCAGCTTGTGACTGGCGTTTGAATCTGGAAGCGGCAGCCGAAGCAGCCGGTGGAGGAGGGGCTCTGGGGCACTCCCCAGGGGCCAGGCCTCTGGTGGTTCTGCTCTCCAACTGGCGTTCCATACAGGCCTTCAGTCCTGAAGGCAGGCGCCTTCAGTCCTACTCAGAATCCAGAAGGAAGCGGCGGCCAAGAGGGGCTGTCCTGATGCAGGGCCTTAAATCCCTGAGTATGCAAATTAAATATGTAGATGGAGGAAGCCAGGCTGACAGTGATGTTCGGAGTGAGATGCATCAGTCATAATTAGCAAGGCTTTCTGGAGTGACCTTTTAACTTCAAATGGGTCTGTTGGTTAGAGAGAGAGTTTCTGTGGCTGCCTCAGGATTGGTTGGAACGCGTTGCTGGAGCCAGGGAGGCAATTAAATGCTTGTGGCAACAACAGAATTGGCAACAGAACCGTGGGCGCCAGAGGCTCTGCCTCCTCCTTGGGGTATGCCTATGGTGAGGGAAGGCTCCCGAAGAGCTAGACCCCGTTTTGGGGGAGCCCTTTGGATATGCTTCTTTTTGTAAATATATTCTTCCAAAGAACAGAATTTTTTAATTTTTAAAAGTTTCATTAATCAATGATAAGTGGCAACCTATTCAATTATTTGTTCTTTCTCTCTATGTTGTTTTCATTTAAGGGAACCTAGTGGTCGTGCTCTCCACTGGATTTTTCATGTGGGCATGTATAGGTTGACATTGTGAGTGGCACGGGGCTCTCTCTCGCCCCTGAGCCTTAGTCATCTCGCCTATCATCTCGACGAAGGGCTGGGCTAGGCAGTCTCAGCCTTAGCATTCTCTGATCTACTGAGGAAACCTGGAGTTAGCCTTTATGTCTTGTCACACATCAATTTCTCCTTTCCTTTCTGCTCAGTTTGCCTATGGTGCCTGCCTCCACTGATGAGAGCTCTGCAGAGCAGAGTGCGGGGATGAACACGTGCGCCGACCGCAGTGCTCCTGTCCCGATGGCATCCTGCAGGCACCTCAACGAGGCAGCCTCTTCATGCCCTTCAGCTAAACATCACCAGGAATTGATTTCCTTGTGATTAGGGAAATATCTGCATTTTAGGATGCGCCACAGTGCTTAGGTGTTATTTCTCTGTCTCTTCTCCAAGGAAATACTACATGCTGAATTAAGTTTTGTGTTTTTGTTCATGCTCAGTAGCACCATTGAGAACCAAGATTGTGCCAGCTGCATCGTGGCAGCGCTGGCAGGAGGAGAGGAACAGAGTAGGTTTGGCTGGTGCGATTTGCATTCACGTGTAGGAGAGCATTGGCCTCTGAGAGAGAACCTGGGCTGCTTTGGATTTTCAGGCTCGGTGACAGCCTTTGGTGAGAAACGTCCCTAACAGACCTGTTATCCTTCTAGGCGTGGGCGGACGCCTTCCGAAGCAGTCCTGACCTCACTGGAGTTGTGCACATATATGAGGAGCTGAAGAGGAAGGGGGTCGAGTTTCCCATGGCAGACTTGGACGCTCTGTCTCCCATACACACACCACAGCGGGTAAGCTTCCAGCTGGCATTTTCTAGAAAGACCTATTGCAGAATGGGCAAGCCACTGCCACCACCCTTCTGCTGCTCCATTTGAATTATTCAGCTTGTCATCACGCTTTCTTAAAGCTGGAGGGCATTTCTTTTTAATAACAAGGGGACTGCAGGAGTGAGACAGCTGGTTGACTGGTGATTAAGAGGCAGTAGTGTCTCCCCCCAGTTTTCGTACTGACTGTAGAAGAATATAATAGAGGGATCAGTGCAGACACTTTCATGGAAACGGCTGCTTGGCCCGAGCCATCCTATGAGGGTCATTAGCACCTGCTTTTCAGAGGCCCTAGGAATCTGGTATGGGGATGCCAGCATCTCCCTTTGACAGCACCAGAGCACCTCAGTGTTGGCAATGCCAAGGGGCTGACAACATCACTGATCGTGGGACAAAGAGCAGCTTTCAGTTTTTTCAACTGTACAAGTCAAATGGATCTAAAATTTATTTTGAGCTATGAGCGTTCCGCATCAATCCAGATACCCTCGAATTCCATCAGCCTTGAGATTCAAAGCCCAGGGAAGGCCCATCTAGGGGCCTCCCGCTGAAGCTCTTACAATGTGGGGCAGCTCTGTGCTTCAGAATTAAAAGCATGCAGGCGATGCCATTCATCCTCTCGCAGGGAAGCTAGTGCCTCTACTGGCTGGGTGTCAGCCCCTGGCCTAGGGGAGAGCCAGGAAGCTCCAGGTTCTGGGAGAGGCACCTCATCCCAGCACACTGCGCTTTGCTGGCTTCCATCTGCCCATCTCTGAAATGGGTGGGAAGTCCAGCCTGGCTGTACAGGTCTCCTGCGTGAATGATGCAGTTAACGTTTAAGAGGTTATCTGAGATGCCCAAAGAGAAAGCACAAGGAATTGTTCTTTCCAAAGCATTATTCTCGTTATGATCTCTCCAAACCTCTTACTATGCTTTGTGGAGTAAACAAAACCTGTTTTATTCTTCTAATAATGACACAGAACAGTGTTGTTGTTCCTGTAATTTCAAAGAACATTCAATAAATTACATAATTATTATTTATATTAGTCTACTTTTAATAGGCCGAAATGTAATCTTCTGCTACCAAATAAGGATTCATGATTGGCAAAACTTAATAGCAGGCCCCCTCCACTCGGATCCAATCCCAAAGTGGTCCTACTAGTGGGAACCATGACCAGAGCTCTCACAGAGCACTCTTGGTGCTGCCTTTCTGAACTGCTTTGGTTGTCTGTGAGGTAAGTGGAAGGAGGAGCCGCTGGTAGCCCCGTGCGAGGGAGAGACTGGGTACAGAGCGGGTAGAGGAGTTCTGCGAGCTTCACAGATCAGCAGTAGAGCCGGGCCCCCTCTCTACAGGCAGCTGTGGTGGGAAGTACCGTCCTGGGGGGGGTAGGTGCCAGGCCCAGCCACACAGGCAGCCCAGTCAACACAGGACTTTGTTGTTGCCATGCCAGAGCGTCCCTGAAGTGGATCCAGCCGTGACCATGCCCAGGTCCCAGTCGCAGCAGAGGACAAGTGCCGGTTCCTATTCCTCGCCTCCTCCTGCTCCGTACTCTGCCCTGCAGGCCCCGGCTCTGAGTGTGACTGGGCCCATCACGGCCAATTCAGAACAGGTACTTGCATACTTCTGGGCCATAGGCAAGCCAGCCGACCGTCCGCATTCACGCTTCCGGGAGACACATACACAGGCCTTCCCAGACCAGGTGCTGTGCGAGGCATCAGCAGCACACAGATGGAAGGGCCCAGCCCCTCTCCTGAGGACTCAAGGTCGAGTGGGGGAGACAGGTGCAAAGACAGTCACAGTGTGGTCATGCTGTAATAGGAGCAGGCCCTACGTGCTCTGTGAGCCCAGCGTTGAGCAGTGCCTGGAAGGCAGCCCGGGGAGTTGACACTGCTGAGGGCCTCAAAGCTGGAGCAGGGCCTTGTCAGGCGAGGCCTGGTTCAGAGGCTCAGAGGAGCATGTCGCTCTAGGGAACAGCAGGTGGACGGTTTGGAGGATAGGTGCAGGTGCAGGGTCCAGGAGGGGAGGAACCTGTGGCAGAAGATGGGCCAAAAGCATAGGAACAGAGTTGAGTTGTGAATGACCTTGTGTGTCGTGCTGAGAGCTTTAGATTTGTCCCGTAAGAAGTGTCAGCCGCTGGAGGCCAGTGACCCGATCCCTAGGACAGGGAGGCCTGCAGGAAGCACTCTTCCTGCCTTTCTCTTTATTTCAAACACTGCCAGCCTTCCCTGGTTATTTCCTGAGGAGTTAATGCTGTTTTAACCCCACACTGGATTTTTTAGATGAGTTGTGGAGACCGGTCTTTAGGTGAATCTATAGAATTTCCATTACTTAAAATTTAAGAATTGGTCAGACTTGAAAAAAAATCTGTCCAATGTTTATATTTTTTAAATCCTTAGTTAATATTTGTGACAGTGTCGTTATTACAGACCCTCATTTAAACAGAGGGGTCAGGTGATTATGTGTGGTTAACAGAAGTGTTGTGATGGCCATGCGCATTTCAGCTCTCTGCTGCTCTGAGGAGGGAGCATGGCGTGAGTAGGAGGAGGTGAACTGGAAGTCAGACGGGCCTGGACTTGAGTTCCCGCTCTGCTACTTACTGTGAGGCTCCGGCCAGGTCATTTGACCTCAGTCTTCTGTCGGTAGAATGGAGCAGCCCTCCTTCCCTCTTACCCCGCGGGGCAGTCATTGGCTTGATGGGCAGCTGGAAGAGGGCCTCGTGATAATCGCCCAAGAGCTGTGTGCACTGCTGAGGGGAGCAAGTCAAAACCCACAGCTGAAACGCAGGGTTTACGTTAATTGTGGGCCTCAGGGCACTGAACTCTGCCCTTCCTGTTACCCACAGTGGCCAGGACCTGCCCTCAAAAGGGGAGTCCTGAGGAAGAAGGTCTCTGACTCCAGGTTCTGCTTCCATGGGCAGAACTGTGCTTCCTTCTGCTCAGAGGGAAGGCAGATGTGTTTAAAGTTGGACAGCCACTGAGACCCTCCACTGCCTCACCGTCAGTGTGTGGGAGCTCAGGAGGAGCCCTCCCTGCAGCCAGAACAGTTGAGAGGAGGGTCTGGACTGGATGAGAGGGCACAAATATTGCCCGTTGGGGAAAATGGAAGCAGAGACAGGCAGGAACCCATCCTGGCCTGGGGGACCCCAGGGCTTCAGAGCCCATGTGGTTTTTCTGTGGCATTCCTGGGCCTCTGTGGCCAGAAACTTCTTCTCAGCCAAGACTTGGGAGGAGGCCTTATGGGCCATCCAACAAGCAGAGCTGGAGGAGAAGAGCCTCTCAGGACCTGGCCCATCATCCTGGTTGACCATTCATCCATCTGTCCATCCGGTAAACATTTATTGAGGCCGCCTGTCCCTGTTCCTGTACTGAGAGTACACACCTCAACCCAGCAGAGTTCCTGTCCCCAGGGGCTCGACGCAGGACGGGCCTGTAGGAGGAGGTGGGAGTGCTCAGTTCATCTCAGGGAGATGCAGGTGTAGTGAGAAAAGGCTTCACTGAGGAGAGGAGGTGTCGCTTGAGCTGGTCAAAATGCAATTAGGAATGATAGCAAAATCCAGCTCTCTGGATGTTCTAGCAAGAAAAGGACTTAGTGTTGGGTGTATGTGTGTGCCAGGAGTGTAGGGGCGTTTTCACGTCAGTTATTCACGGCAGTCCTGTGAAGTGTGGGCATTATTGTCACCTTTCCATAGCTGAGGAAACTGAGGCTCAGAGAGGTTACGGTCCATCTCTTATGGTGTCCCTGCTGCAGGAGAGATGGCCCAGGCCTTTGCTTGGGTCCAGGCTTTGGGGAGCTCTGTTGGATGGGTAGATTGATGGCTTTTAGGGGGTCGTGTTATTCCTTGGTGGGAGCTGGGTGGGTAGAGGGTCTCCCCTGTAGTCTTCTCTTGGTCCCTCTCCCTCGCTCTTGCCACATCAGAAGAGTGCAGTTAACGATGGCCAGCCTCTCAGAGGACCACAGTATTTAGATTATAAACTCCTAGGGGCCAGAGTCTATAACTGTTAGGTTCTTCAACGAGGATCCCAGTCCTGAAGGGACCTTGGCGATCACGCACGCCACCGCTTGCACTTGAAAGAGCAGAAAGGAGGCCTGAGAGATTAATTCCCTACTCAAGGTCCTGTGAAGGGAGAGCCGACTGCACACCAGCTCAGTCCCCTGTGGACCCAGCGCTCCTTCCCGGCACAGCACTGCCTCAGTGTCAGGGGCAGGGTCTCCGATGACAAACTTGGTAACCAGGGCCTTCTGGGGTGGCCTCAATCCCCCATTCAGTTCTCTCAGAGCTGCCATCACCTTCACACACAGACTGGAGTGAGACGAGAGGCTGCTTCTGCTGTACTCATTCAGAAATGTGACCTAGGTATACAGTGAATGGGACTGTCACCAGCCATGTACAAGTTGACTGACCTCTCCTTCCTGCTTTCCTTCCTCCCGCCTGAACAGATTGCCAGGCTGCGGAGTGAACTAGACGTCGTTCGAGGAAACACGAAAGTCATGTCCGAGATGTTAACAGAAATGGTCCCTGGGCAGGAGGACTCATCAGATCTGGAGTTGCTGCAGGTGAGGGGACCTCATCTTAGGGAAGCTCTGGGCCTGGGGATGCAGTGAGGGAGGGACTGAGTCCACGTAAGCCCACACTCAGCCTCACGCTTCCCAGGAATGGTCAGAGGCCGACACCAGGCTCTCTCTTTTTTATTTTCCTTAAAAACGTTTTGTTCCTGATTATAAAATGCCAACTGCAGAATACCTGCCCATCAAAAGAAAAATGAAGTACAACAAAGAAAATAATAATTTTCCTTAATCCTAGCATCCACAAATAACCACTGTCAATGTTTTGATGTATTTTCTTTCAGACTTTTTACTATGTTTATTTTTATTTCAAATGTAGTTGAGATGGTATACATATGATTTTGTGTATCACTTTGCTCCCTCAACATCATGTGTTGAACATTTGCGACAGGACCTTCAGCCTTTCCCGCACCTAGGAGCCCTTATAGTCACCCCTCACCCCAGACGTGCTGAGCCTGAGATGCAGCTGAAGCTGCTTTTCTTTTCCCAGACACGGAGGAGTCCCAGGCTGAGGCTGGCTCACATTATAGTTCCTAACGGTCTGTTGCTACCTGGCCTCTCTGCCTCTGGACACCCTGTAGGTCTGGGAGCACAGCAGAAGAGGGTCTGGGAGCAGGGCTGGCCCACGGGACCTCACTCAGACTGGAGTCAGAGATCCTGCCTCAGGCCTGTTTCACAGGCCGGCCAGGTCCGGAGCTAGTGACCAGATCTCCACCACACCCGACTCTGGGATCTGTAGAAAGTGGCAGTGGCACTGCCCTCAGAAGCAGTGACCTTCTGGAGGGGTGGAGAAAGAATGCTGTAAACTACAAGTGCCAGGTCTTTTCAGCAGGAGGCAAGATTGAGTGAACAGGTCAGGAGCCAGACCGGCTTGGCGAACTGGTTTAAGTGCCTCACGGCGTGCCTGCTGCTGCTGTTCTCGTCTGACACCCAGAGTCGCCAGTCTCGGCCCTCTAAGTGCCATGCCTCCCACCCTGTGGTTGGCACAGACTTGCAGCCTGTGAAGGCTCGGCTCGAATTGCCCTGTCCCTCAGGAGTGTGCACAGCCTGAGGGGCTGCGCGTGGTCCCAGACTGCTGCTTGTTGTGCCCCCTTCATCCTCCGAAGCCATCAGCTCCTGGGGGTGAGGGTGGATGGAGGCACACCCCGGGCCTAACACAGAGCAAAGCCCTAGGGGCACAGAGATGCATGGGCTGTGGTCCCTGCTCTGGAGGAGCTCACAGCCTAGTACAGAAGACAGACAGGAAAACAGCTCATCTCCGTGAAACCATGACATCAGACTGCTCTTGAAGCCGAGATAAGCACCTTCAGCCAGCCCGAGCAAGGAACCCTGAGTGGCCCCTCTCTAGTTCCCAGACCTCACTCCTGACACCTGCAGCAGACCAGGCGTGCCTCAGTTCAGCAGGTCCAGCTGTCCACACGCCACACTCCATGGGACCCAGCGTCCCACTAATGCATCATTGGCCTCCATTCCTAGTCTGAGGGGAAGGAGGGGGATTCTTCAAGGCATTACCCGAGGCACAGAAATCTGAAATCAGTCCAGAAACTGAGAGGGCCTCCTGAGACAGCTTTTTGCTGTGTCAGCATCAGAATTCCTGCTGGCGGGTTTGCAGTGGACAGAGCTGAGCCCCTGGCAGCAGGGGGTAGGCTGAACAAAGCCAGCATGTTTCCAGACAGCCAGAGCAGAGAGAGAGAGAGAGAGAGAGTCTGTGTGTGTGTGTCTGTGTGTGTGTTTTAGAACAAGCCCGTCAGCCAAGACAAACAGAACCTAATCACCTGGAGTCAGCTCAGTTTTCAAAAATAGGTTGCTTCCCATGACGTTCTCCTTCCCTCTGTTGTGCTCCGGCTCCGAGCCTACCAGCTCTCACTGCTGTCCCATAAACCAAACAAAGCAGGAAGGGTTCTGGGTGCCAGTGTGAGGTCGTCCTTTCAGCACGGGAGATTCAGGAGTCGGCAGCTCTGTGTGAACAGACGTGGCTCTCCTGGCTGCTGGCCTTGCTCCTCAGTCACTCCTGATGTCTCTCCTCCGCCTCTTCCCCTGGCGGTCAGAAGCCAGCCAGGCAGGGTCTCCCAGGGTCGGGGCCACACTGAACGGCAAGCCTTCCACGTGGGAAAATGCCACAGTCTGCTTGGAAAGTGAAGGTATCAGAATGTGCCCTGAGGACCCCTCAGTAGAGCTGAAGGGCACCAGATTGCCCAGGGTGGAAGCAGTCCAGCTCACAGTGCTGGCCAGGGCCATGGAAATAAACACACTTGTCGCCAACCCAAATGCTCATGCCAACAGAAGCTGCTCCCCACTTGAGTGTAAATTGCTGGGTGGGAGGTAGAGGAAATGGGAAGAGAGGAAATTGAAGGGGTCAGCCCCGGGATGCACTGGTGTGGCCGACCGTAATCATGGGCAGGTTATGTCCTGACTGCTTCCGGCGCGTCGCAAAGCACCATCAGGTATAGCCGTGCCACAGCCCGGCAGAGCAGCGGGGAAGCTTGGTGGAGAGAGCTGTCTGCCTGAGGACTCGTGGGTGAATGACTTGTGGTTGAGGGAGGCTGAGGCCCCTCCACCATGCTGTGCTGTCAGCTTAGCTGGAGCCCCCGCAGAAAGTGAGGCGGGATGCCCAGAGGAAACACAGCAGCGCCTCTCGGCCACCGTGTGGAACCCTTCGCTCTCTGAGTTAGGAGAGACCTCCAGGCGACTAAGTCCAGCTCCACACCTGCGTTCAGATTCCCTTGACAGCTGCTTTCCTGGTGGTACCTGCCTCATTTTCCTTAACATCCTCAATGACAGGCTGTTCGTGTCAGCCCGTGGAAGCACTTCCATTTCCAAAGACACGTTTTAGTTAGACTTTGAGAAGCAGCGCAGCAGGGCAGGAGCAAGGGCTTAGAAATCACTGGGTTCACGTCCACGTTCAACTGCTGGCTGATGCTAGGCAAGTCACCTACCCGTCGGAGCCTGGAGTGATCCTTGTCGCCTTGGAAGGACAGGAAATCTGTTAAAGTGCTAGCACAGTGCCAGGCACAGGCAAGTTGTCCCCAAGCCGGAGCTTTTGTGATTATTATCAGCACCCCCTTCCACACATCGTGCTCAAGTCTGTCTCCCAAGAACTGCTGCCCTGGTCTGTCTTCTTTAACAGCAGAACAAGACCAATTCCTCTCTCACTTGGTAGGTCCTTAAATATTTGAAGACTGCCATAAGCCCCTCCTGTGGCCTGATCTCTATGTGGTACAGATATGGCTGTTGGCAACCCACCTAGTGGATGACCAAGGCAGTTCTCCACAGAAGGCACACATTCATCAACTAAAAACCCTCCATCTCTTTTTCATGTGGCTGTTAAGCCATATGTTCCCCATCCTGTGTGTGGGCACTTGGGTCCAGGCCTAAAATTTGAGACTCTTATCTGTGTCTGCTAAAGTTCATGCCCTCAGCTGCAGCCTGTGAGTCCAACTTTTTGGATTCTTTAAAGATCCTGATGCTGTCATCTGGTGCCCTCTGTCTCTCCCAAATTAGCCTCTCAAGCTTTGTCTTTAATTAATAATAACTTTTAATTAATCCAACAATGCCAAAAATAGGCATTCCTACATGGCGACCCATCAGATAATAAAAGAAGCCCTCCTCCATGTTGTTTCTTCAAGTAACAGATGGTATATCCCTTCTTGCTTCTTGCATCTTATTTCATAAAAAACAGGATGGCCAGGACCATTTTCTCTAGAGAAATCTAGTTTATTCTACAGGTTTAGCTTCATTATTCCCCCTTTCTCTTCAACAAAGAATTTCTTCTCCCTCCCCTCTCCTTTGCAGCTATAGAAGGCAGATCTTCAGAACTTTATTCCATGCTCCTTAGAACTTGGAGAGGGTTCAGAGGAAACCCATAAAGATGATTAAAAGATTGTTTTGTGAGGTGGGGATGAGAATATCCCTTGAAGAAAAGATAAAGGCATTGGGATTAATTAGACAGAAAAGAGAGGATATTTTAATAGGATGTTCTGATGGATGGAGGGCTTCTGCACAAAGAGCAGTGACCAGCTGTTCTCCCCTCTGTTGAGAAGCAGACAGAGAAGGAGGCCAAACTGAAATCTTCAGCGGTTAGGAAACTCCTGTCCTACTGCTGCACAGTGGGAGGGACGACCTGGGCAAACCGTAGGCTCTCAATGTCTTAGGACCGGAGGAGAATCGCTCTGTCTGGGTGTTTTGGAGGTGGAGGGAGGCTACACCTGCCATGGTCTGGCTGTGGATGCCCGCCGCCCCGGGAGGCCATGTGGATGGCTGGCTGGCATTTGTGGTGGCAGAAACCTTAATGTTCTGGTCCTCCTCTCCGCTTCAATCTCTTTGCCTTTTTTTTTTTCCTGTTTAATTTTTTTTTAAGACAGTAGCTTAAAAGGTTGAGCAAGGAAATGGTAAAACTTGCTCTCTGTAGAGACCCCTGGAGATCCCTGATTCAGAAGCCCCAGGCCAGGCTAGGTGGGCCTATGTTTAGGAGAAGCTCTTTGGAAGGCCCCTGCGTGCTTCTCTGGGATCAGAGCATGCGAGGCTCTGCCTGTGGGGTTGGGGGCTGTCTCGCCTACCACCCCAGCTGAAGGCAGTGGGGAGCGAGGCAGCGAATGCTAGGCCAAAGCAGATGTTTCTGGGCTTACAGTCCATGAGACTACTGCATTCTGTGCCCTTGGGTCTCGTTCTTCCTCCAAGCCGAGGTCATAAGATCAGAGCTAGCAGAGGTCTCAGAAATCGTCTAGCACTTTCCAAACATTTCTGTAAAGTAATAAAACCCTTTTCTCCACAAGTAGAATTCTACAGAGAATCGCAATGTTTAAAGTAGGTACAAGCAGAGCAGCCCTGAGTGCCGTAGGGTGGGGAGCCCCGAACTCCATGCAGTGGAGGTGCCCCAGTGGCCCTCTCCAGAGCTTCATCACTTCTCCAACCCCTTTGTTTTACCCAGGGAGAAACAGGCCCAGGAGTGCTGGAGGCCTGGAGAGCTGATCCAGGCATGGCTCCTTGCTGCCTGCCATTTGGTCCCCAGCATCCAGGAGGGACTGGGCTCTGTGGGGGAGACTGAATCCAGCCCTGCCCTCTTCCATTTGGTGGTTCTGGTGCTTTGGGTGTTTGGAGTCATGTTTCTGAGATGTTCCCTGCAGTCTTCTGAGGGATCTGGTTTGGTTCTCGTTTGTCTTTGGTGGACCATCCTTGTGGCCTGCTCTTTGTCCCTGGGCTTCTGCTGTTTAGGGTGGAGGTAGGGGCTGATCTTCGCTTGCTGGAGGTAAGTACAAGCCAGAGGCTCTGCTGGAGAAGCTCTGCTGACATGGGGCGGCAGCGCTGAGTAGAGGTGTGTCCAGAGTGCTGTGGGAGTCTTGAGGAGGGATGGGTGGGGAGGTCCTCAGAAAACATTCTGGGTGGTTAGGAAGATGGGTAACTGGGTAGACGTGTGGTAATACTGGCACCGTAAAATGTTAATGGTGGAATCTAGGCGTTGGGTATATGGTGTCCACTATAAAATTCTTTCAGCTTTGCTCTGCATTTGAAAATTTTTGTGATTAAGTGTTGGAGTGGGGGAATTTCCTGGGGACTTGAAGGATGAGTAGGAATTTGATGAATAAGGAGGAGAGGAACATTGCAGGCAGAGGGCCGACTCCTCAGGGGCCTCGAGCAGTGCGGGCTAGTGCCTGAGGCCTTCTGCAATTCTAAGAAGTCTGAAGTGTGTTTGGAGAAGGCCTGTGGGCTCTAGAACGTGATGCCACAAGCTTCTGCAGGGCTGGGTGGCCTTGGACTTGTTTCCCATGACGTGCTGCTACAGACCCCTGGCTTGTGGGGCCTGCGTCTTGGAATTGGCCTGCAGTGTGGATGGAAAGTGACTGACCTCTTCCCTTTTCCCTCCCCAACGTAGGGCTCCAGGCTTTGCATTGCTTATCAGAGATTTTTTGCAGACACCTCTAGTGCTGGTCTCATCTGCACCGGGCATGTGCGCACCCAGGGAGGGGAGGGACACGCATGGTGGCCCAGGAAAGGTTCGTGGCAGACAGCTGACAGGCGGGCACTGGTCCTCTTTCCTCTGTCGCCTGGCCCCAGCTTTCCTGCTCTTCCGTCCCCAGCTCTCTGGCCGGGTCTCCAGCATTTCCTCCAAAGTGCTGGGCAAGACTTGCCCAAGTATTGGCCACATGTCTTTTCTGTTGTTAGCAGGGGGCTAGTCTTTTAAAGTTAACCGGAATCGATGCTCTCTTGTGAGCCCTAAGTAGATGCTCCCTGCAGTCTAACGATATTATAGATTCTGTGATTATTTACATTGTTCACTTCAGTCCTAGCTGTCAGGATGCTTCACACGGTCTAATGTGATTGCTTCTTTCATAAGTTCAGGCATTTATTTATTTATTTATGTATAATGTTGAGAGCCTGGCTTCATTTTAGCGTCACTCATGAGCGTACTTTATTTCTGTAATTAGGGTTTCCGCTGTGCTGTTGGCTTTCCTGTGTCTGTAATCGTCCTTGGGTGACTGGATTTGACCTGTGAGTGTCTTTTGGCACCCACGGCAGTTATCATGTGCCAATCCATCACAAATGGAGACCCTGACAGGCCCCGAGGCCCAGGCTGGCTCTCGAGTGCTGCTCTCCTGGCTGGCCTGGGGACATGAACCATTCATAATGGTAGACAGTGGGTGTTTTGTGGTGTTTCACTCTTCTCTGGACATTAGTGTCCTCTGCAATTAATTTTTGGTAGTCATCTCTTGTTATTAATTTTAACACTTGTCTCTATGGTTATAAATGCTTACTGCTGGGTCATTGGGGCTGGGATGAGTCCTAGAGAGGGAAAATTAGATTCCAGATGAACAGGAATTCCCCCTTCTCTGAGTGGAGAGTGCTGGGAAGAAGGCTAAGCTGATGTGGATCACTGAGCCAGGGCAGTGATGGGGAGCTTGTGGTTTGGGTGGACCAAGGGTTCAGAGCACTTTAGAGTCAAGATCCCCATGCTTCCCCTCCAGCCCCAGCCTGGCTCTGAGCTCCCCCTGCCCTGCGTCTCTGCTGCTGACGGGAGTGTTACCACCTGCCTAGGCTGATCTGGCCTGGGTGCAGCTGGCACTTGCAGCACCAGGTCAGGGGGAGGGAGAGAGGGATTGTGAGTATCCGGTGACTTGCTAGAAGCACCGTATTTCCAGGGATAATCCTGCCTTCTCCAAACCTAAAATGTGAGTCTTAGGAAAAACAAGAGTGCGGATCTGTTCATAACAAAACTAGAAGGTCCAGACACTGGGCTTACTGTCCCCGTTGACCAAGAGACACTGACAGCACCATTCTGGCTGTGCAGAGGGCTAGCAACAGGGTAGAACCAAAACAAAGGGCAATGTTTCCATAGCCAGATAGACAGCCCAGCAAGCCAGAGAATCTCCAAATGAAGCTTTTTTTCTTAAGGTGAACACCGGACTATTCTCTACCCAGCTGCCTAAATCTAGGTACCTTCTGTCTTGAAAAATACACCTGTACTGTGGTGATTCTAGGCTGACCCACATGGACCAGGCTTCTTTCCTCAGCTGCCCTCACTCTTGGGGAAGGAGCCCCCACAGGCAGAACCAGGAGGGACAACAGAAGCAGTGTCCAGGCCTGGTGTCTGGCTGGCCATGATCTATTCACTCTGTGATGGGCAGGTCTGTCAAAGTGTCCCTACCTTGTTCTGATAAGCCTAGGACACTCATTGCCCTTCAGCAGTGAAAGAGAGGTGTGTATGCGCACGCACGTGTAAGGGAACACTATTGGATACCTTGGACTAAGTGTGGATGGAAGGAATGCAACTTGCCTTCATTAATTAATTCTCTCAAAAGCAATCAAGGAGCGGCTCCCATGTGCCAGTCATGCGTACTCGGGAAATGGGGACAAGAGATGCCATCTCTAACCTCTAGGAGCTTGGTCTAGAGGGGGAGGCGGATAAGGAGGCCAACTCTAATAGTGTGGTGGGCACTGTGGGGCGTGGGGGTTGGGGGGCACTGTCAATTCCCTGCTTTGCGTTTGACCACCTCAGCAACCCGACTCAGCAGATGAGTACTGGGCCTTTGCCCTGTGTGTGGCCAGTGCAGGGCTTGAGGGCCTCCCCAGGGGATGAATAACGGCACCTCTTTCCCGGAGTTTATGATCTGGTAGGAGGAGAAACCTTCTAGCCAAGCTAGCCAGATTATGTTCAGCAGAAATTATGTATGTTCAGCACAGATTATGAACAGAGATCATGTGTGTCTGCGGCCAATAGGGCAGTTACTTCTGCCAGAAACATTTGCAAAAGGTGGTAGTTTTAAGGCTGAGCTGTGAGAAGGAAGGACCTCTGCTTCATCTGTTATTCCCTTCACTCACTGGGTCTTTAGCTGCCTCCAGTGTCCAGGTAGGTAAGACAGCATCTTGCCTCTGCTTCACCCTGGATGGCCCATTGGGACCTGGAGCTTTTTCCATAGGCAGTTCCTGTAGGCAGGGATGCTGTGGGGCCAGCCCAGTGGGGCTGCCAGTTCCCACCTCTGTAGGGTCCTCTTTCTGGCATACAGGATGGCAAGGAGCCCTGGCAGGTGTTTGAGGGGCCTCCACAAGCAAGTTGCAATGAGAACATGAGTCAGGCTGCCGTCCAGAGCAGGGAAGGCCCGAGGAAGCCAGGCCATAAAGTGATAAGGGCCTGTCTTCAGGGAGACGTTGCTTCTAAGGGTAGAGAGGGCTCTGATGGTGACTGGGGATTCATGAGCATCACCTTTGGCCAACTGGGGAGCCATGTGGGAGCTTGCTGAGCCTCTGAGACCTCAGTAAGATGGCAGACATTCCACTGAAATGTGCCTAATGCAGTCATAAAATATACTCATGCTGTTGCTGGGAGTATCAATAAACTGATCTCGTCTTTTTGAAGGATCTTTTACTATTACCAATCAATATTCTAAATGACCCTACCCTTTCACCCAGAAATTCCACTTCCAGGAGCTCATTCTATGGAAGTGCTGGCACAAATGCATAAGCACGTATATATACAAGTGTTCATTGCTGCGGTTATGTGAGTGAGCCAAAAAAAGAGAGACCATAACCTAAATGCCCAACAGTAGAAGAATAGTGAAAGGCGTTATGAGGCACACACAAAAGGATGAGGCAGTCTGACAAAGCGATGGGGAGAGGCGTGTGGAGTATTTTGTTGAAGAGAAAAAGCAAGCTGCAGAGAATCATATCCTTATATTTTTAAAACGATTTATACAGACGTGTACTTCTGTACATACAACAGTACATATGTGAGGACGTTTGTCTATCTATTGAAAAAGAGCTTGTTTCCTCTGGGGTAGGAAGAAGCAGTGGGGGTGGGCCTTGCACTTTGCATCCTTCACACCCGTCTGGCTTTATGGACAAGCACATACTCCTTTTGTGACTTTTAAGAGTCAGCACACATTTTTCCAAAGTAAAGAGAATGTGACAAAAAGTGTACCCAGCAGGCTAGCCAGAGGTGTGTGTGTCCCCAGGAGCTGAACAGGACCTGCCGGGCCATGCAGCAGCGCATCGTGGAGCTCGTCTCCCGAGTGTCCAACGAGGAGGTCACTGAGGAGTTGCTGCACGTCAATGACGACCTCAACAATGTCTTTCTCCGATATGAGAGGTGGGCACCAGGCTCCTTTTTTTCCCTTGAAAAGATTGTTGCCATAACCGAGGGATTTTTTCCATAAACAAAGGAGAGAGAGAGAGAGAGATTAGAGTGGGAAAATACTCATCAGAGATGCTAATTTGTTCCCAGATGTCAGCGAAAACGCTTCTTGTTCTCCTGGGAACCTAGCAGCAGGAAGGTGACACACAGAATTAGGCTCTGACCTGTGTAAGCCTCAGACTGCTCTGCCTTCCTCAGTAGCCCCAGCCCCGGGAGGAGGAGGATTGGGGAACCTGGGGACTCTGGAGCTTCACACCTGCTCCTTTGAAGATCCTTTAAATTTGAAAAGGATTAAAGGGGAAAAAAGTCTCTACTAAGGAAAAAAGATTTCCTCTTTCCCATCTTTAAAAAAAGAAAAAAAGAGAGATTTTTCCCTCCCTTTGCAAATATCAGTGCGTCTGGAGTGTTCAGCAGCAGGCAGGGCGTGAGTGGTGGGTGCTGCTGCGCGGGGAAGCGCACGCGCGTGCATCTCGGTCCTTGCTGCAGTCACATCATTTTTGGATTTGAGGTAACAAACTTGCAAATTCTTTTCTCTTTCCAAAACCTTCCCTTGAGAAGAAGTGCAAAGCATCTTATTCAGACACCGTTTTCAACAGGCGGTGTAATGGCAAGCACGGTTATCATCACACCGCTCTGATGAGGCACCCGAGCCTCCTGAGTTACCCAGCGTCAGCACCAGAAAGCACGTTGACTGGGCCAGCCTTCTCCTAAGTCTGAGGCCTGATCCCCTGCTGACTCACACCATGATGATCTGGCATCATTTTGGGTCGGTGTGACAGATACTTGCTTTTGGGGGCTTAGAGGATGATTTTGCTGTGGTTGTCACAACCCTGGGCTTTGTCTCAGCTTTGACTATAGCAGTAGAGATGGATGGCCCTGTGTCCATCTGAAGAAACCTGCAGTAAAAATGTGGGGCCACCCAGGGGTGTGTCGGTTAGAGGATAGGAGCAGATCTGAGGTGCCTCAACTCCCAGCCTGAGACCCCTTGCCATGTGGTTCCAGTTTCTCCACTTTACATGGTGTTGGCTTTTAACGTCTTAAACCCATTTTAGCCCCTTCTAGAATAGGATGACAGGGGTTAATATGGGCATTTTCAAGTCTGCCAGTTCCAGTGTTTCCACGAATTCAGAGGCAAAGCCTGGGGCCAGCAGCCCTAAGACGTCATTCTGGCTAGTGTGCCTTTGATAAGACTAATTGTCCCTTGAGGAGGGTGTGGGAAAGGTACTCCAGGATTAGAAACTTTTCAGATGTGTTAATATTCCTGTTCTCCTTATGGACCATGGTTGAAAAAAACCACACGAGTCTTAAAACCACAGTTGCAACACATCACCTAATCAGATTGTCCCTCCTGGGGATCCCTGCTCACCAGGCGCCATCCCAGCAAGTGGGGAGACCAATGTGGAGCAGCAAATCTCAGTAAAGCCTGGTTTCTCCAGGCTCCAGCTGGAACAAGTCTCTTAGCTACCTCTTTGCCCATGGCATTTTGGAACTGTTAAATGCAACGGCAGCCACACACGCATCTCGCAATTGCTCTTCTATTGCCCACCTGGTATGAGAATGATTGGGTATGGGAAAGGAGAGCCTTTCTGCAGTTGCTGCAGGCCAAATCCCATCCTCGGCCAGTCTGCAGCCAACTGACTGGGCAAGGAGACTGGCTGGCAGCCCCTCATGGTTGGCCTAACCCTCCCGCAGCTACTGGGGAGCCTTTGCACGAGGCCAGAGGCCTGGGCATGTCTTCCTCCTCTAGGTGCCCACCCTGTGCGTGCCCACCCCCTTTCCTCCAACAAGGTGAGCCAGAGGCATTTTAGTGACGTCAGCTAATTACTCCCCAGCACTGCTCTGTGAAATAGAGAGGGGCTGCACTTCTTGCCTGGCTTTGCAGAGAGACATCTGAGATGCCCCCAGGTAAAGTGGTTGGCCCCGCCTCCCCCTTCAGGGGCAAGAGGAACACTCTGGGCCCAGGGTGTGAGGGGACAGTGGGGGGTGCTTATAATGGCCTCCTAGATGTGCCAACCAACACCCTCCTCCCTCACCTCAGGGTGCCCGTGGGCGAGACTGGGAGGCTGATCATCCTCTGGGAGAGCCCCATGCAGAGGAAGGCATGGTAAAGTTGTGCGTTTATGAGTCCACTCCCCCTGGCCCCCCAAATGGGGCTGGTTGGTCTCCTTTCCCAGAACTGGAGCCTCGGTCTCTGCTGGCTCCCAGGGCCCTCGGCCTCCAGGAGCTCTTCACAGGACCAGTGAGCATCACAGTGCCAAGTCATCCATCTCTCCTTACTGTGCTTTCCCTTCCCCCATTAGGTTCGAACGATACAGGTCGGGCCGATCAGTTCAAAATGCCAGTAACGGAGTAAGTATTCCTTCAGAATTCTCTCATCTCTGGAGGCCAGGAGACCTGCCTCAGTTTGGTCCCACTTTCGTTTTTCTAACTGGGGTGTAAATATTTGGGTAATTGAAGAGCAAACTCTGGTTGATGGGATATGGAGGAAGAGCTAGCAAGCACATCCCTGGCAGGAGGATCGCAAGGAAGCCCCAAGTTACAGTTCCCAGGGCAGTCGCTGTTCTGGGGACTGATTCAGCCTGCCTCCTTTAAGTGGGGGGAGGACCAGTGGGCAGGGGCTCACTAACAGCCAGGGCCCACTGTGGACCCCTGAAGTCGGAGTGAGGGAAACTGCCTTGCTCCCGTATTGGTGCAGTGTCAATGCTTTTCCTCTGGAACCCTGTGTGGTGCCTGCTGGCCCTTACCTTGGAGCCTGACGCTCTGGGGCTCACCACTGTCTCATGCTCGGACAGGTACTGAATGAAGTGACCGAAGACAACTTAATAGACCTGGGGCCGGGGTCTCCAGCCGTCGTGAGCCCAATGGTGGGGAACACGGCACCTCCATCTTCCCTCTCCTCCCAGCTTGCAGGCCTGGGTGAGTGTCTCCTAGGGGTGGAAAGGGCCTCCTTTGCAGGCTACTTCCTGGATGTGAATCTGGGCTGAGGGCCCCTTTATCTCTCTTTGTTGGAAGGCCTGAAGAGAGCTTTTTGGGGAATCCATGGGAAAGTGTATTCCTGAGTCCTGGCCAATTGTACCACCTTCAGTTCATAACTTCTTTCCCTAAACTTAAAGTTTATACCTGTTGGAAGGCATGGGTGGGGGGAGTTCTAAGGAACTGGAAGGTGTTTGCTTTTTAAAGAAAGGTGGCTGCTTTGTTTTATCTGGAATATTCCCTGTAGTAGAAGTGATTTCCCTCTCAATATCAACTAGGCCAAGGATGGCAAATAGGTTTGAGCTCATTGGAACACAGGTCTAAGAAGGATGCTGAAGCTGTATTAGGGCTTGGAAGATGAGTTTGTGATTGATTGCTGATGTCTGCCACGGGCTTGGAAGCAGGAAGAGATGGCACTGATATATTTGTTCCCCTTGAACTAACAACAACCTAAAGTGCTCTCTTGTCTGAAACCTAAAACCAAAGAAACTCACCACTTCTCCACAGTTCATTTGGTTTAAAAGTGTGTATATGACCCTACAAGCTACAAATACACTGGATGACATCAATTTATAACAGAATTATAGTCTTGAAATAATAAGCATGGCCCTCTCAAAAATCTTTATTCTACCTTGCTTTTCTGTTTTCTTTTTTTCTTAATATTTATCTTTATACCTTCATTTCACTTAATTGAATTGAGCTTTTATTTAGTGGCCTCAGTTGCTATAATTCTGGCTTCTAATTATCTCATGTATCTGTAGCCACTGTTTCTCTTTCAGAACAGATTTCTCTGCCTTCAGTTCATCTAGCATGTATAATACCAGATATACCAGATATAATACCCAAAATTCAAATTGAATTCTGTTGCCTCCTTCCTGTTCTTGTTTATTTATTTTTTTTTTTTGGTAAGGAAGATTAGCCCTGAGCTGACATCTGTTGCCAATCCTCCTCTTTTTGCTGAGGAAGATTGGCCCTGGGCTAACACCTGTGCCCATCTTCCTCCACTCTATATGTGGGACGCCTGCCACAGCATGGCTTGACCAGTGGTGCGTAGGCCCGCGCCCGGGATCCGAACCTGCGAAGCGTGCGCACTTAACCACTATGCCACTGAGCCGGCCCCTGCCTCCCTCCTTAACAAAGGTCTAGTGGTTTTCCCATCAACTCCTTTACCTGGCGTTTGAGGCTCTTCACCAACCACTTCCCACCTGCATTTCTGGCCTCATCCTCCTTTAATCTCTCTCCATGAGCCTTGTTCACTTCACTCACCCAGGACTTCCAGGCCCGGTGCCTTTGTACCTGCCGTTTATCGCTTCTTCCCACAGCATAGTCCCCCTCGTCCTTACAGACCCACTCTTGTATCCGTTTCGAGTCTTTCCCGCTATCTCAAGCTAAGCACTGCTGTTGTCTGTCTGTCTCCCACCTACTCTGTGTGCACCTTGAGGCCAAGCACCACATCAGATTCAATGGTCCACTTAGGATCTAGCTCTGAACATGGTGGGTACCTGAGAAATATTTCTCAAATGAGTAAATGACCCAGGTCCTTAGACACTGTGATGAAGTTAATGAGGAATGCACTGACAAGGGCATTGTGGGAAGTCTGCAGGGGCACTGGCCCCAACCCTGCCTTCTCACTGCCAGCAGTCTCCCTTTCGTTCATAATGACCCTTTCCCCGCGTTGAGCAGCTTGGGGTCAGTGGCTATTCTCTCCCCCGTTTGGGCCCCACTGTTGGCTCCTCTTGCACGTGATGGGCTGGGAGTGCTGAGCAAAGTCCTATGTCCCCTCTGCCCAAGAGCCCCGTAGAACTTGAACCTGCCCAACTGGCCTCCTCACTCTGGGACCCTCCGTGAAGTCCACGATCCACATTTTGTTCTCATCCTTCTCTCATTTGTTTTGTTGCCACAGACTTGGGGACAGAGAGCGTCAGTGGCACCCTCAGTTCACTCCAGCAGTGTAACCCCCGTGACGGCTTTGACATGTTTGCCCAGACGAGAGGGAACTCCTTGCCCGAGCAACGCAAGACGTATGTGGGGCCTGTTTTAGTGGCTTTCGGAAGATATTGGGGAAGGATTGATCCAGGTCTGGTCACAGGCCAACACAAAGAGGCCTTTTATTTACCAGGTCCAGGACTGCCAAGAACTTTGGCTGTGAGGACTGGGCAGTAGACACAGATGTTGACTGCACCCCCCCTTGGGTTTGATTGTAGTTGGGTTTCTCCTGTCAGCCACAGAGAGTGCTCTGCTGTTCCCTTTGCTCCCCGTGCTGCTACAGAAACCTCGTCTGCAGGAGGAACTGGGAGCCAGGAGGGTGCAGCTGGGCAAGGAGTGAATGGTTCCTAGCAGCATGGTTTTCCTGCCTAGGGGTGTGGGCAGAGGCTTCCCTGACAGCAGCTCTGACCAGGATGAGCCATATGGAATTGGGGGAGTTGATTCCAAAATAGACAATCCCCTGCATCTTAGGGAAGCACTAGAACATGCTTTGAGCTTGCTGTTCAGCCCAAAGGCAGGTGAGGAACGCTTTTCCCCACCTTTCCCAGGGGCCTGGCATCTTGATGCATTCAGCTTTCTGAGTCCCATGCTCAGGTTGACCAGAAACCCAAGGCCCCATGCACCCTTCACCAGCAAATGTTGGTTTTAAAATGGATACAGTGAAAGAGGTCAGGGAGCAGAGGAGGACAACCCTCATACTCAGTGACAGAACTTAGTCCCAGACCGTGAGACTTCCTTCCTTGTCAAATGCCACTGAGGCTGCTGCTTTTAAAATGAGAATTCGTATTGCTTTGCCTTTATTTAGCCCCTCCTCTGAGCGGTTTCAGGGCATTTCTGACATCCTGTCCTTGAGCTTTAGAGATGCTTTAGTATTGTTACTCAAGTGAGGGATGTTGAGGTGCACGTGTCCCGGCCCCAGAGGAAATGAGCAGCTGAGCCAGTGCTAGAACCCAGGCCTCCTAGCTTCAGCTGCAGTCAGACAGATGGCATGAGCCTTTAACCTCTGCACAAATGCCACGGCCTCGGGAAACACTTTTCCGAGTACATGTGAGAGAGGTCCCACGGATAGAAAGTGTTGACAGGTCACCGCCCCATCCCCTGTGACTGCTGTGGGGAGCTGAGTCCGCTTCTGCTGCTTCGTCTCCAGGGCCACCTACGAAGAACCCCCGTCTGTCGGAGGACTTGCTTCTGCACTCGATAGTCGGAAACAGAGCTCCGAAGTGGTAGGTCTTTCATCCTGTTTCTGCCTGGAGTCCTCTGGAAGGAAAGTCAGGCAGTTTGGTAAAGCTGGGTGGGTAATTAAGCAGAAGCTGGCTTGCATGGAGGGCAGAACACACTGGGGGAGACCAGGAGGAGAACACTGTATTACCTCATTGAGTCCTCGCCCCACCCCATTGGTGATGCTCTGTGTCAGCTTTCCCGTGACACCCAAGAGGAGACAGGCCCAGAGAGGTGGTGATGTGCTCAGGTCGCCCAGTGAGTAGAGAGCAGGCAGGAATCCACTCCTAGGAGGTCCAACTCCAGAACCCCTGTTCTCCCTACCTAAGTGGCCCTGAGCTCTCAGGACACGGGTCTTCTGTGGCCAGACAGGGTCTCTCCTCAAATGTTCTGGGGGTTCCCCGGGGATGGACAGTGCTCTGACAAAATCATGGCCCTTACAAAGAAGGGGAATGCTGATCTGAGCCACAGCTCTGCTGATCGTTTGTAGCAGGCCTGCCAGAGCAGTACCAACCCCATTAGAAGGCAGCTGGGGGGGGCCGGCCTGGTGGCGCAAGCGGTTAAGTTCGTGCGCTTCGCTGCGGCAGCCCGGGGTTCACCGGTTTGGATCCCGGGCGCGCACCGATGCGCTGCTTGGCGAGCCATGCTGTGGCGGCGTCCCATATAAAGTGGAGGAAGATGGGCACGGATGTTAGCCCAGGGCCGGTCTTCCTCAGCAAAAAAAGAGGAGGATTGGCAGATGTTAGCACAGGGCTGATCTTCCTCACAAAAAAAATAAAAATAAAAAAACAAAAAAGGGGCGGCCCTGTGGCTTAGTGGTTAAGTGCGCGTGCTCCGCTGCTGGCGGCCCGGGTTCGGATCCCGGGTGTGCACCAACGCACTGCTTCTCTGGCTATGCTGAGGCCACGTCCCACATACAGCAAGTAGAAGGATGTGCAGCTATGACATACAACCATCTACTGGGGCTTTGGGGGCAAAAATAAATAAATAAAATTATTTAAAAAAAAAAAAGGCAGCTGGGGCTGGAGGGGTGGGAGGAGCAGTTGGATGGTGGCTAGGAGAGTGTGCTGGGAAGCTCCGTGTCTGGAAGGGGCAGAGCTAGAGGCAGAGGTACTTTGAAGTGGAGAATGGTGCTTGTTGGAGCCCCAGATGCAGCCATGGTTTCTGTATGATTTCAGATCACTGCAGGGGAAAGGATTTGTGTCTTAATGCTTCTCATGAGATTGTTCCCCTTTTTGCTTAACTAAGAAATGTGTGTGGCAGTGTGTCAATGAATGTCTGCAGGGGCAAGGAGAGGGAAGGCTGTTGGGACAACCGCCCCAGAACAGCTGGAATTCCTTTCAGGGTCCCCCAGCTGGACTAGAAAGGGGCAGTGTTCATCTGTCGACTGGATGGGGAGGTTTGTTTCCCAAATTCACTTCTTGGCCTCCCGCAGCCCCTGTCCAAATGGGCCCAGGCAGGCAGCAGTGCTGCAGCCTGGTTTCTGTGAGAAAGTTCGCCTGGGGGAAAGGGACTTCCTGTCCCTCTCCCTTCTGGCTCAGCCAACTTGATGTGAGGGCTGTGCATCCCTCTGCACTGGCCACCAGGGGGCACAGAAGAGCCAGTCCGGCTGCCTTGGGTTCTCAGCACCCTTCCTTTCCACAGAAGGGTGGGCGGTGCACCCCCTCCCCGAACCCCTGAGACTGGGACTCCGGAGATCTTTGCAGTGGTCATGATTCTGTCTGTCTCATTACTTGCAATGTCCTCTCACCTAACTCAGGGAGGACGTTAGGGAGCCTGGCTGAGGGCCTACCAGCATGCTGCCAGGTGAGGCCGCCCCCTCCTCCTGGCTCACCTTGGCCCCGCCTCCAGCCCCGGCCCACAGCCAGGTGGAGCTGGTGTGCTTCCCACTCTGCCTCCAGGGCCCGCCCCGTCCGTACCAGGGTGTGTCCTACACACCTCTGTTGTTATCAGTGCCCAGGCCTGGGTCCAAGCACAGGAGATGTGCTTCCTGCCCTTCACCCTTTGGGTGCATGGCTTGGCCTGTCTCCCTGTTTTCAAAAGGTCTTGATGACTCCATCATGTCTCCCACATGACGGTAGGCAGATTCCTTTTCACGTTTACTGCTCAATGGGGCGGTGCAGGGAAGCAGGGTCATGTTGGCTGTGCGTGTCTGTGTGTGTGTGTCTGTGTCCGTGTCTGTGTGTGCCTGTGTGTGTGTGTTTGTATCTGTGTGCACACACACACTTTCTCACGTTCACCTTCAGGCCAGTACTTCAGGTTATGTTGTTCTATATCCTAAACCATGCTGACTGGGCCAAGGGAGGAATTAAGAACACAGTACTATAAAGGGGAAAATATTGTGTAGCCACACCTCCACAGTGCAACCAAATCAGTAGTCTTGACTTTAAATACTTCTGGCATTTAGAAAAAGGCAATATACCCAAATTCAGCCTTCGAGTTAAGAGTTTGGGAAAAGAATACACAGCTAACTGAGAAGGAGGAAAAAGAGAAAAAAAGCAGAAATAAGTTAGAAAAAAGTAGAAAGCTAGTTCTTTGAAAAGTGGACCCTTTGCCAACCCTGAGAGCCCTAATTGGGAGAAACAGCCCTGGTCGACCTTCTGTGACCTCATGGAGATTATCAAGTATATAGGAATAGTGGGCAGGAGTATATGTTACCCTGTTGGGATTCTTGGTTACTAAATTTCTCTTCTCTTTTCCAGGTAGGTAAGGGGGACATGCTGGAGGGGGTGGGGGCATCAAGTCACATGTCCTTACATGACAAACGATCAATTCTGAACAGTGGCTTTTCTGTTTCCATGATATATACTATTGCCTTCTTTATGATGAGTCTTGCTGTGACTTTTCTTTCTGAGACTTTTCTGTCCTCGGCCCAGAAGAGAGATAAAGGTGGGGACTCTGACCTGGAGCCCATAGACAGCTGGCTCATAACCCAAGGAATGGTGAGAGGTCACCAGCTGAGCCAAGCCCCCTGTCCCCCCCAGCGCTTACTGTGTCACCTGCTGAGCCCCTGTGAGTCAGACAGTACAAGGCCATTCTCTCCCTCTGACTGGGTGCCAAATTTTCCCCTCCTGTCTTTGTACAATCTCCTTAAGCCACAGACTTCCAGCCCCAGAAACACTTTCTCTGATTTTCTGCTGAGGTCCGTGCCTCTGGGCCTTAAAGGTCTGGGGCATTTGCAGGAGTGAGGGGAGGGCCCCTTCCCTCCTTTTACTGTCTCTGGAGCTCTTGGCAGTATTTACTTTTCCAGGATGAGCACAAGTTACTGTGGCTTTTGCTTGGGAGGGAATGTTTCTAAGACAACAGACTCAAAGGGCTGACCAGTCAGAAAAGCCCCCTCCAGCCTGTGAATTTGACAGTCCTAGGCTGATGGGTTCTTATCATGTAGTTATTTTTGCCCGCTACATCTGCCAGAGGATTTGAGACCTCTTCAAGAAACACAAAAACACAACAGGAACAGAATAAAAAGAAGACAAAGCCGGGAGAGTTTAACGTCATAAACGCAGTCAGTTCTCATAAAATAGAGCTTTTCTGGCACAGACCTGGGAGGGTCTCTCCTGTCTCATCTGATCAGGTGGCTCTGAGTCTGGTGCATAGAGAGAGGGCGACCTTATTCCAGGCTGCTTGCCTTGGAGTGATGATTTCACCTCTAAAGAAGCCACAACCCTCAAACACCTCTAACATAGAGACCAAAGGTCTGTGCATGTGTGGTGGGGCCAGAGCAGGAGAGGATGCAGAGAAGGAAAGATGATAAAAGCAGTGAAAGTATAGGCCTCTGCCCTGCAGCTGGAGTGGGAAGACACTGCACATACAACAAGGAAGAAGCATAACTGACTCCTGGGGACTGTGCCAGGCTATGGCCAGGGCAGGGGTGTTCGGGCTGGGCCAGCATGTCTGCGACTGTGAACACAGGGGGGTCACCTGCCTGAGCGAGGTGTGACCAGCATGCAAGGAGTGGGCCACACAGAGCCGTCAGAACTCTGAGGGCGAGGGGTATCTGCCTGCCACCCGGCTTGGAGCTAGTGATCTCTGCACAGCGACACTCAGGTAGGGCCAGTCTCCCTCCACCTGTCCCAGCAGCAGGCAGCCCGTCCTGCTCTGTTTCTGCACCAGACCCCAAAGTCATTCTTAGAGACATGGGCTGCCTGGGCCCCTCGTTTGCTTCTTTAGGGACAGGCTGGAGCTCTGGCCCACCTGTGTGAGTGGCCCTAGAGCAGGACTCCTGGAGCCCATGTCCCCTCCATTGTCCGAATTTGGAGGATCCAGCCATATGTCCTTGTGCCTATTAATCCTGCAAAAAAGGATACTGTCCACACGAACTACTGTGAGGGGGGCCTTGGCAGCTGGTGGTGGTGCCTGCCTCTGCCCACACAGGCCACCCCCACTGCCCTGTCCCCACCTAGAGCTCCAGTCTCCAGCTTCCCAGAAACAAGCCCAGCTAACAGCTAACCTTGTGTCTCACCTGCCTGACTGCAGTGTTTTTTTCTTTTAAACATGTATTAATTGCTTTGCCTTATTTCCCATAGCGTAGAATCCCCGAGTCTTTCCAAACCTCCCAAGTACAAATTCTTTACTTGGAAACTTTTTGTACTGTTGAGTGAGACCAAAGGGCTTTTAGACTATTCCTCACATTGGGGTGGTGGTGCAAGCACTGTGGGGAGGATTCCACCACTTCTCTGGAAATGGCACACCCAACCTACAGAAATTGCTCCTGTTGCGTGGAAATCGGACAGTTAGGTCTCCTTGTGGGGTTGGGGCTGTGGAGATGGGCCCTTGGTCTCCTGGGACTTGAGGTGTCTGGATATCTGATACCAAAGTTAACAATACAGGTTCATTACCAGTTGAAGAGAACACAGAGAATCATCATGAGCCAGCCTCTGGTGACTGCTGGTGACGTTCTCTGTCTCCCCTGCCCTCTCCGGCTCCCGGCCTCGTGCTTCTCCTGGCTGGCGATCAGAGGGGAATGTCTTCCTATATGCAGGGTGCAGCCAGGAAAATACCCTGATGTGAACAAATATAAGTCACAACAAGAGCAGGAGTAGGTCGGTAAAAAGAGTCTGCTGCTGCCAAAGCCTGGGTTTGGGGCAGGGGGTGAGGGACTCCCTGCCCAGACCTGGAGGACCCCCAGACACCGCAAGCCCCAGGTCACAAAGAGTGCCAGCTGTGGCTGAGCCAGTAGGAGCACCTCTCCCCTTTGGGCAGGTGACCACTGCTCCCTAAGCAGAGCTGCCCTGCCTGCAGCCCTGTGACGATCAGCTAACAGCAGACAGCTTACCCACTGCTCACGTCAAAATCGGCCACTTCCAGCATCTGCCACGCCGGGTTCTCTGGACTCGGAAGGTGGGCAGGGCTCGTCTAGCCTTGCCTCCACTGAGCCAGCCCCATCCAGCCTGTCTTTGGAGGGAGTTAGCTTTAGGTGCTGATCTTTATTGGAAGGTGTTCCCGTCTTAGCTTCCTTAGTTTTTCTCTCTTCACATCTCTTTTTCTCTTTCTGTCTACCTCCTCCAACTCATACTCTTCTTCAGACCCCACGGACCAACGCTCAGCTTGGTCATTGCCTAAGAAGGTGCTAAAACCATGGGATGTCAGAGCCCACAGTCTCTTAGGGATCAGCCGGGCCAACCTTCATCTGACAGATGAGAACACTGAGGCCTCACAGAGGCCTGGTGACATGTCCAAGGCCACAGGGTAGAGACAGAGTCCAGTGCCCTCTTCTCTACTCAAGGCCTCTGCTTTCCTTTCCGTCAGCCTGGACGGGGGAGCTTCCTCTTCCTCCCTCAGTTTCTTCAGTTCCTATTTGTAGAGCATGACATGTTCAGCCTGTGTCTGATAGCACCTCCATTATTGGAAGGAACTTTACCCTGGTGTAATACTGAAGGCGTCGATTTCCCAGGGCAGCAGGTTTATGTAGCTCAGGTGCTGTGTCCAGCCCCAACTTAGTCGACCCTGCCTTACGTTAGGTAAACCTGACTGTCAGTGCACACCCTGGCTCCATGTGCTTCATGCCCCGAGGCCAAGTGCCTTTCATCCTGTAAGGAGTCACTTCCAATAATTTCTGACATCCCTGGGTTTCTGAATTAGGAACCAGAAACACCAACCTGGAAGTTCAGGGACTCAGACTCCTGACTGGTGAAAGCTAAATACGACCTGGCCATCACCCTGTTTCACAGGTGAGGAGACCAAGGCCAAGAATTGGCCCAAGCCCCCGCTCCCGCCCCCACAGCTCTGAGGCTTCTTAGGAGAACAGAGGCTCAGGAGCTCCTGGGTAAAGAAGCAAGTCCGGAGAGAAGCGACTTGCCACAGGCCCTGTGCCTGTAAGCCTGGGACCCAGACGCACCCATCGCTCCCTCCACAGCCTGGCTCCTGGGGCTTTGCTGGTCCATGGGCATACTGCTTATTTGGAGAAGTCTAGGAGAGGAAGAAAAGTGTTCCCATGATCCAGCTTTTGGGGAATTTTTTTTGAGGGAGTGACGAGTTTCGCAGATGTCAGTGTTTATTTTCTGAGCGTGCTGGCTCTCAAGATTAATACTCAAACAGGAAAACTGGAGCATGATCCCTGGCCTCGAGGGACTTATTTCTGAACAGTAACAAAAAAATTAGAAGCGAAATCTGAAGGTTTAAGGCCCGTGACCCCTAACGGCTTTTTTCAAGCTTTTGTAACACATTGCAAAGCTCTCCCCGTCGAGTCTCCATTACTCCTAGGTGGACTACAGCTGGGTAGGTATAAAAAAGGCCCAGGGCTCACTCCAACAGCTGTTGTTGGGTGTGTTTTCTTCTTGGAGATGCGGCGGACTCTCCAAGCTTTAGTTCTGGGAACTTGGCGTGGCACACATCCTCCCAGAGGCCAGGCATTCTGGCTCATAAGCATCAAAATAATGAAAACTGGCATCTGCTGTCATGGGAATGTGTCAAGAGAGAAGTCCTGCCAGCAAGCGTAGTGTTAGCAGATCGCGCCCTGCGTGCCCTACTGCTTTCTTCTTGATGGGGAAGGTGGTGCTGCCTCACATGCTCTTAGCACGTCCATCCAGCATTTGTGCCCTCCAGGGTGAGAAGCACATGTTCTTTGTCCCTAGGAGTCATTTCGGGGTGATTTGAACTCCTTGATATTTTTTCATTTCAACATTCTTAAGTCCCAGTAAGTCACAGAAATAAAACAGGAACATAGGCAGAATCTTCCTAATCCAATCCAGGCTACGTGAGCCTTTATGAAAATGCGTGTGGACTGCTCACGCCAAGTCTGTAGTTAGGCAAGAGCACATGAAGCTACTGTGGTTAGCCGGAGCGCGGGGTCTGCCGACTCACTTGTGAGGGCCTGTGTGCAGGGCTCTGGCAGAGTGGCTGACACCTGCTTGGTGTGCTCCGGCGGGCTTAGCAGCCCTCGCTCCACTGCGCACCCCAGACCCCGCCAGCGGCAGGTTCTACCTCCTGGAGTGGCTTGTCATGTCAGGGCAGGGCTGCTGATGTGAAATCTTTGTTCTTCTCCTTTGGTGAGGTCCTGTCCTTTTTTAGATTTGGCAAACACTAAGGCAATCCTCTTACTGCTTATTTTAACTTTATTCTTATATTAGATTGTGACATTGGGGTGAAGCCAGCTGTAGACACAGTGCTGGTGATTTTTGTAGAAATCGTGGGCTTGTGAGTGAACTCTTGGGAGCTACTTTCCAGACCCAGGCTAGGTGAGGAGGCAGGTCACCTCCACTGAGGGCAATCAACTCATTTCTCTAGGCTGGGAGCCAGCATTTCATTAATGCGACTTCTAGGGGGTTAAAAGTTACCTTTATTTCTTGTCGCATTATATCTGACAGCCACTTAAATATTTCTAGCCAAATGCATTTTTCAGAATCACTGCCCCTGAGGCCCTTGGCACGGGTGACCTAGGCTCAGGCACCCATCACGTGCGTCTTCGTTTGCTCAGGAGCCCAGTCACCCCCCTGGCCACTGCTCCCCAGATCTCCAGATCACTGATCCCCAGGTCTCAGTTGAACTTCTTTTCTTTGACTACTGAAGCACAGACAGCCATTGAAAGCTGGGAAGCAGGGGCGAGACTAAAGGAAGGTACTGCATTCAGGGCTGCTTCGTGATTTTCCCCCTAAAGAGACACAAAGACGAGTAAAGCCCCACAGTCCCTTTTGTCATCAAAGCCCTCATTTTTGCCATGTTTCTCGTGGTGGTGAAACGTGCCTGCCTCCTGTCAGCCAGGCCACACCCAGGCCCCGGTGCTTCTCTTACTCAGAGATGCACCGGGACACACGTTTTGAAATGCTTCCAGTGAGCAAACAGAGCCCTGACGTGCTCCCAAGGCTGGCTGCAGTGTCCCCTGCTCTGGCAGACTGCCGCTTGGCCTCCCCAGTGGTATCAAGGGCCCACTAGTGGCTCCTTGAGTCACCCCTGGGACTGGGTTCGACAGTGGGTAGACAGTCCTCTTCCAACTGTCCTAAACTGGTGAGTTCAAAATCAGCCTGCAGGACCAGCACATTCCTGAGATTAGAAGATGCTTTGCGGCCCTGGGCCAAGAGAAGACCCCATGATGTGAGGGCTGACACACGTAGTCAAAAAGTTATTCAAAAAGTTATCCATTTCAAGAACGCGTACTGCTGTCCTCCCTCCCCCACCCGGTCAGCCCGCTTCTTAGAATTGGCCCCTCATTGCTTTCCTCACCTGCCTTTTCATATGTGGCTGCCTTGTGTTGCCCGCGCCTGCTGTGCCAATGTGTTTTTTTGCTCTTTGTACATTTTGGTTTCGTTCGGGGGTTGCTTTTGACGATTTACTTTGTTCGGTGTTCTGTCTTCCCTCGCTGGCTGTGGGGCTGCCTGGCCCGCTGCTTGCCGCCTCCATAGATCCCCGTTGCGCAGCCCTCTGTCATGGACGACATTGAGGTGTGGCTCAGGACGGACCTGGTGAGACTCGACTTTTCTATTTCGTGCGTAGGGTGTGGTGAGGCAGAGGCGCTTCTGAGGACAGGTCTCGGGGGACACCTGCAGGGGCTGCTTCCCGGTGGGGTGGTGGAGGAGGGAGGCGGGGCAGGTGTGGCTCCTGTGGCCACCAGCTCCTCATAGCTGCCTTCCCCTCCAACATGTGCGAGTACACAGAGGCCGGCTTCAGCGGAGCACTGCTCTGGCACAGCCCTCAGCCTCGCCGCCCACCCACCCGCTCGCCGTGTGGGCAAGAAGAGGCAGAGCTGGGGTTGCAGTCTAGCTCTGGCCAGCTCCAAAACACACACTTGTTCCCAGCACCTTTTCAATTGCAGGTGTGTGTGTGCTTGGATTCTTTTGTTTTTTGAGTTTTTTTTCTCTTTTTGGTTTTTGTGGGGTTTTTTGTTTTGTTTTTTTTTTTTGGTTTACATTTCTTTTTTTTCTTTTAATTTGTGAAATATACTCAGAGATGAGTCGGGTGTTTTTTTTTTTTTTTTAATTCAGTGTCATTCCACTTCCCCAATATCTTCTGTTATCTTGGAGCTAAAAGAACCCCTGCCCCAGAGACCATTGTCTTTATCCCTAGAGGTAGGGCAGGAAGGTGAGGACATCATGCGTCTGTAAATGGCAGCAGCTCCTGAGAAAGGAGGGCTGCAGTGGCTGGTCCCTCCCTCTGTCCCTTACAAAACACTGTCACTCTCCGCAGCCTGTGTGGGAGGTGGGGTGGAGTCGTTGGCCAAGGGCTGATGAAGAAATGCACTCTGGGAGGGGAAGAGGCTTGCCCAAGGTCATGGGCTGGTCAGATTCTCCCCCAGACCTGGAGACACCTCCTCTCTTGTTCCTAGCTGCCTCCTCTGCAGGGCCTGTTCCAATTCTTTAACTGCAGGTTGGCCTGGCTGGCAGCAGGCTGCTGACTTGGCTCGCTCCCACACTAGGACACAGACCTTAGATAGGGCCTCTCCCTGCTCTGGGCCACCTCCCCAGAAGGCCAGGCTTCCTCAAGATATTCATTGCCCAGCAAGGCAGCCACTAGGTGCCAGGGGAGGAAGAAAACACCTCATTAGATCTTTCCCAAGGGAGTGCCTGGAAAAGAAATAGCTCCTCTCACAGAAGCAAAGCAGGAAGGGCCAAGGCCTTCACCTCACAAGGGGGGGCCCAAGGTCCAGACAGGGGGAGGGACCTGTCTAGCAAGGCTGTGCAGCAGATCAAAGGCAGAGCCAAGAAGGAAGCCGGGTCTCCTGGCCCAGCCCAGGGCCTTGTCTACTTCCTTATCTGGCCCCCTTCCCTGTCACTGTCTATGCACTGAGTTCCCAGCCCCCAGGCAGCCCCAAGAGCTCAAGTGACTGCCGACTTCTACAAAGAAAACCCAGTCAGATCTACTCTCATCGTCGAGAGTGCACAGAACCTCCATGGCTCCTCAGGAGCCAGCAGCTGGTGATGGGATCTGGGCCACAGGAGGAGGCTGCCGCAGCTCCGAGGAGGCTGCAGGACATGGCTTCTGGCCGGGCAGCGCTCCACTGCCAGAGCACTGCCTGGTGTCAGGCCCTGTGCCGTGGGCATCACAGCTCTGTCCCTTCCAGACCTCACTTGCTTCCCGGCTATTAACGTGGACAGTGACTTCCCAGAACCCTGTGGCTGGCCGCCAGAGGACGCTGAGTGGAGGAGCGCCTGAGGGGCCCTGGGCGTGCCTCTACCTCAGCCTCCTTGTGGCCCCTTCTGGGTGAGTGTTGATGCAGGGTGCAGAGAGGCCTGCCGCCGTCCTGCCCTGGAGCTCAGCCCAGAGAAGCAGACTGCACCTTTCTGGAGATTTTTCTTTCTGACCCTTCTAGAGGATCAAAACCTAGAACCTATTCAGGTTTTTTTTTTTTTTTTTTTTTTTTGCTTTTTAAAAACAAAGTTCCTGTTTCTCCAAAAAGATGATCAGTACTTTGCTATTACAGAAATCTGGGAACGAGCTGTGGGAAGTTTTGCTCGGGCTGTCGTGGGCAGTGCTGCCCTGGGGTGGCTGCTAGCAAGGAGAGGCAGGAGGGCGGGTGGGGCCCTAATCCCGTTCTCTCTGCTCCTCCCACAGAAGGGCGATGACCTTGAGGAGGGCGTCACAAGCGAAGGTATGGCCTGGTCAGTGACTTTACAGCCCCTCCCCCTCCACCTTTTGCTGCTCTGGCCCCAGGCTGTAGGGGTGCACAGAGGCTGGCGCCCCCACTGCTTGGAGCCCCCACTGCCAGAGCTCCGCCTGGTGTCCAGCCTGGGCTGGGCCTCCTGTGCTGGGGGCTTCTTGGCTCTGTCCCATCCAGGCCTCACGCTGATGAGGGAAGTGTTAGAAAGAGCACGTGATTTTCAGAAGGTCACAGACCTAGTGAATAGTAGGTACAGGTTGCCATCCCAGGTCAGCATGATCCCAAACCTGCACGCCTAACCAGTTTGTCCGCACCCCTGAATGCTCAATGCCGAGAGGCAACACACGTGCCATGCAGTCCAGAGGGTGCACAGGGAGCCCCTCTGGGCCCGCTTGTCCTCTGACCTCACTTCTCGGGGGGAAGTTCCCATCACCCCCCTCCATGTCCCGTCTCACCCCCCCACCCCTCTGCCCCTCCCTTCTCACCTCCCTTGGCCTCCCCCATACCCCACTCACCTCTCCTCTGCACTGCCTCCTCTCCACTCTGCCAGACCATCTGCTCAGACCCTCCTCCGAAGGCAGAGAACCTTGCTTGGTGGGTGAGGGTGGGGTAGGGGGGATGTTCCCTGTCAAGTCTAAGTAGGAACTCGTCCCTCCAGCTCTCCCTGCCTGCCTCCAGTGCTGATCTGGAGAAGAGAAGAGCTCCAGGTCCGCAGTGGGGCAGGACCCATAACAGCCCCCCTGCTCATAGCTGGGCTTCCCACTCACCCTGGAGGTGGCAGAGGAGGACATCAAGGCTGGGCCCCCCGGCGGCAGAGCGCCCAGAAGCACCCCTGGCTCTCGCTGGCTGCTGCCCTGCCACTCTATGCCTCCCTCTGTGGCAGGCGGCCCAGGCCAGTGTGGCGAGGGTGGGGACTCATGCTGGGGTGACCCCTGTGGGCGCAAGTGAGTGGGGCTCAGTGGGGAGCAGCTGCGACATGGTTGTTTGAGCCTCAGTGTGGGCCTAGACCCCCACCAACCCTGGCCTCTGCTTTGGTTTTGTATTGCAGAGTTTGATAAATTCCTTGAAGAAAGAGCCAAAGCTGCTGAAATGGTTCCCAACCTCCCCTCACCCCCAGTGGAGGCCCCAGCCCCGGCTTCAAACCCCTCTGGCCGGAAGAAGCCAGAGCGGTCGGAGGATGCCCTCTTCGCCCTGTGAGCTGTTCTGTGGTTTGGCTCCCCAGATGGCAGGTCACCTCTCGTCCCCCCGGTCCACACCAGGCACTGGCCACTCCTCCCATCCCCAGCCCTAGTCGGTCCTGTGCTGCTGTGTCTCCATGGAAACGCCACTGTGTTTGCTCCCAGACCTCCTACTAGTCGGGACCAGCTTCAGCCATCTTCTTCTCTGGGTGGTGGGACAGCGTCACTACGGCCAGAGGCCCCTCACCTCCCTGCCCCTCCTGCCCACAGGCTCATTCTGCCCCTGTTTCCTCCCAGAAAGAGCGGGCAGCAAGGCCCAGCCCCAGGCCTGGCAATCCCCTTGGGACTGTCTCCTGAGCAGCCACCTGGCCTGTCTTTCCTCCAGTCACCTGCCCACAGAGAAGGGGCTCAGGCCCCAGACCCTTCCCCCACATGCCCTTTCCCTTGCCTGGTTCATCAGGTCTCCTCAGGCCAGCCTGCCCTCCTGTGTCCCTCTGTTCCTGAAAGGGCTTGTTTGCCCAAGACCACCTGTGGGCTTGGTCTCTCTCCCTGAACTCCTGCTCCCTGACACGGATCACCTTGTGGCACTTGGCCTGCTCAGCACTTTAGAAGGCTCTATGGGGTACCCATTGATGGGGTCTCTCATCTTCCTGACCCTCTCTCTGTCACTCAGCTGCTAGCCCAGGCCCATGCCCAAGCTGGCTCAGCAGCCAAGCTTGGGACCAAAGGGCCCCCCGTCAGACCCACAGGCTCCTGGTGAAGGGAGAAAGCCAAGAGCGGCTGGGAGGGCAGCACACAACCCATGGGTGGTGGCCACAAGGGTGGGTTAGCCCCTGCAGAGATAATGCCACCAGAGACCAGACTGCCCCGAGCACGCTGCACACTCCCCCACACGGTCAGCCCGTGGGTGGAGGGACCCGCACGGGGAGGAACTACTCTGGCTTGCCTGGGAAGACTCTGTGGGTTTGTGAGCATGCCGTGCTCAGGGCTTTGGCCTGGCCTATGGCAGCCTCTGTGCCTCTACCTGCAGGGCCCAGCAGCAGGTGGCTTTGCACCACGCTCAGAGATCCAAATGACAGAGGGGTCAGAGCGACACAGGGGCCCCTGCTCTGCTTCTTGGCATGGGCCTCAGCCTCCTCCACAGACTGTGCTGACAGCCTGACCTTCTCCCACCCCAGATCCCCCCAGGGCACCAGGTTGTACCCTCTCTCCAAGCCAACCAAGGAAGCTAACAGAGCCTGGGGCTGAGCAGCTAGGGGCTGGTGACACCTGCTCCCGTCCTGGGCCTCGCTAGTGTGTCTCCTGGCCGTGGGCAAGGTGCTCATGGCTTGGCTCAAGCCCGGGTCCAGCCTGACCCAGCCCTGTTGCTGCTGTTGCCCAGAAGAACGAAAATGCTGCTGTAGCTGCTTCACACCAGCCCATGGGTCTTGGAGGCCCTGGTCAGTGTTCCAGCATGTGCTGCCCAGGCGTCAGGGGCAAAACTTGGCTAGGCCACCACCTGTTCCCGACCCCTGGTGTGGTCAGCCCTTCCCACCTGGCAGCCCAAGCAGGGAGAAGAGGCTGGGCCTGACACTGGCTGAGACCAGTGCCAAGGGCCATGCTGAGCACCAACAGGAACAGTTCTGGTGGAGAGCAAGGCACTGCCCACCCCAGAACCCAGTGCCCAGTCTAGCATGGCTGCAGCTTCCTCCAGAGAGGAGGCCTGGGGTCTGACTGGGGGCCCGTCGGGACCAGCTGGGGACATCACACGCCAGTCCCTCAGAGGACACCCAAGAGGCTCCTCCTTCTCTATGACCAGCCATGAGCTCCACCAGGCTGACTTCAGCCCTGCCCTCTCCGACAGCACGCACCATGCCTCCACTCTGCCCCACCCTGACCCTCGGTCAACCTGCACCTCTCTCCTCAACATTTCCCAAGGGCAGAGCCCCCTACGGCCAGCTTGGATATTCAGACGTCTGAAGTCAGCTGGCTTGACAAGCTGCAGAGGAGGTGGCTGGGATGGCCCCATTGTACCCAGCAACCCCAGCTAGTAGCCCCAGCCCTTTGGCGCAGTCTGGAAGGGTTTTCTCTCTGAGGGCCAGGGGCCCATTTTTGCCAGCCTGCCAGAGCCGGTGGGCAGTCTTGCGGGAGCTGTGGCACCGCAGCAGCCGGGCCCAGTGTCCTCTGAGGGAAGAGCCAGCCTCCCTGCCTTGCAGAAGCGGCAGTCCCCACCAGCCCAGGAGCCCAAGGGGTCTGAGAGGAGAGGAGGCTCCTGGCGATGAGTGAAGCTGCAGCATGCGCCTGCTTGGGGAGACTCCAGCAAAGCTGCTCCCCAACTTTAGCTGGTCAGCCAGGCACGGCTTGGAGAGGCCTGGCTACTCTGGGCAGCAGGTGGTGGTAGACTCCTGTGGGCTGGCAGGAAGGCATTGGCCCATGCAGAGAAGTGTCACCTGCCTTCCCTGCCTGGAGCTGCCCCTCCTGCTCGCACATCATGTCCAGAGGCAGCCAGCCCTACCTGGAGGCTGAGGGGACGCTTGCTTGAGGCCTGCACAGGAAGCAAGCGCAGGCCCTTGAGGGATTCTGCTCAGCTGGTCCTGGGGTGTCCCATCCTGAGGCTGTAGGCACCCTGGGCCACTGTCCGCTCCTGTCTGGGAGCTCAGCCCTCAGGCCACCTGCTTAGGGAGGGCAGCAGAGCCCTGGCAGGAAGGCTGGCCAGAGCCTGCCCCCCAGGAGAGCGAGACCCTCGCGAGCCACCAGCCTCTCCACAGTGTTACAAATCACCGATACAGTATCTACTTAATTACACTAAATTATTGCTGAGATTCCTTATAGGCACTAATTATACCTGATTATAGGTTAAAATATTTATTTTGTCAAAATATTTTCTTGGGGATGTGTTTAACCTTTTCTGTGTTCATTGTGTGCTGAGATGTGAAAACTAACCGTTCTCTCCTGCCTACCTTTTTGGCCAGTGGGCAGCAGTGAATGGTACTATGTGCAGTTTGACCCAGAGCACTGATGGGCCTTTGGCCAGCGTGCCCTGAGCAGTCCCTGCCCGGGAGCCCCCGGGCCCAGAGCAGGCCACCTGGGGCCAGGCTGAGAGAGGACCGACTCAGTTATTATGTGCATGGCCCAAAGGGCGTGTTGCTGGCTGGGCGAGAGGGAAAGGTGACTGTTGTCTGTCCTCCTGTCTTTCTGTCCGTCAGCCCCCTCAGTGTGAGTGACCGTCTGTCTGCCTTTCCCCTCCTCGCCCAGGGGCCCACAGCAAGGGGGCCTGAGGAGGCGTGGGGCCAGCACTGTCACTCAAGGCCCCCAACTGGGAGAATGGTGGCGAGGTCCCTGGACGGCGGGCGGCAGCAGGCACCCGGCCTCCTGCTGCATCACGGGGCAGACAGCTGGGCTGCCCACTCTTGCTCCTCCTCTTCCTTCCTGCCAGTGCACCCCCACTTTGCCTCCACACACACGCTTCTAACTCAGTCTGGCGCAGCTTTCTGGATAGTTCAAGGGGAGCTGTGGGCCAGCGAGGGAAGAGCACCACAGAGGAGTGCTGTGCTCTCAGCCAGCCACTGTGGGCCTTTCCACCAGCTGCTGTTGGGACTCTGGGCTCCTCTCCCCGTCCACCCACGTGGGGACCCACAAGACGCCCCTGTGGTACCCGCCTCTCCCAGTGCCCATCTCCAGCCCTTCCTGTCCATGGGGTCCAAGCCAGGCTTTGCCTGCAGCCACCAGCCTCCGGGAACAGCTGTCAACCCCGGAGTCACACTGTTTTTCTTGTATATGAAACCTCTCGGCTCTCCTGGAGAAAGAGGGGTGGATGTTTATTTCCTCAAGTTTGCACTTAATTTGTGAGGGTTCTCAGGATTGTTGGGGGCTGTTGAGAAAAGGGTTGTGTTAAGTTTGTTGTCCGGTCGTCCCACAAGTCTGGTGTTCTGTCACTGTCGTGCGTCTCTGGCGGCAGAGCCAGTTCTGGGGGGGTCCATGCCCGCGGGGCACAGCCACACCCCAGCGTCCGTTCTCCCACTGGCTCTCCTTCCAGGCATTGTCTCTCTAGGTTGGATTCTTGCATGTAAAGTACTGCACAATAAACAACAGACAAACTGCTCCTGTGTGATCTCTGTCGAGGCGGCTGGGACTGCTGAAGGGGCTGCCAGATCTGACCCCTGCTTTCTCTAAGCAGGGGCTGCTGTGGGCCTGCTGGAGGGCACAGACTGGGAAGCCCGCTCCCCTGCCGCCCCCCACGCCCAAGCTGCCTGAGCAGCCCCCTGGCCGGCCAGGGGAGTCGGCCAGAGGGAAGTCCCCGCACCTGTCCCCGTGTGGCCCTCCTGGGGCATGGCCTGGTCTGGGGGTGTTGGCTGTAGCAGCTGTACACCCGCCATGGCCTGCCTGAGCGCTCTAGGACCAGGGGCTGTGGGTCTCTGCGTCTCATCCCCGGCCCCCGGTGTGCGGGGTGGGACACTCACCCCCTTTGGGTCATCCGAGGCCTTGAGCAGGCAGGCCTGAGTTGCCTCCTCAGCCCCACTGTGCTGGGCTCCCGAATCTTCCATAGAGCTTGTTCTAGGTGCTGAATTTGAGAGCTGCTGCTCCAAGCCTCCCCGCCTTTCTCAGTAACAGCTTTCTTGAGATATAATTCACACAGCATACAGTTCACCCATTTAAAGTGTACAAGGAAGTGGTTTTTAGTATATTCACAGAGTTGTGTGACTGTCATCACAACCAATTTTAGAGCATTTTCATCACCCCAAAAAGAAACCCCTACTCTTAGCAGTCACGCCCCACCCCCCCCAGCCCTCTCGCTCTTTTTAAAAAGGCTTCTTTCCTTCTGTCCTGGGAGCTGGGCACCCTGGGCTGTGCTGCTGGGCGCGGTCACCTGTAAGCAGCCTCCCAGCAGGCCCAGGGGTGCAGGGGTCCTGGAGGGGCCGTTGTGGGGGCCAGGTGGTGCCTGCGCCTTCTCCGAGTGGCTCAGGGAGGCTGGGAGCCCTTTGATCCCTTCACCTCCCAAGGTCTGAGGATGGACCTCAAGCGAGGTGGACTCATCAAGCACCCAGGTGCACCTGGGAGAAATGGCAGAGCCACCTGCCCAACCTCTCCTGCGCAGGTGAGGAGACAGGGCTGGGAAAGCCATCTGCTTGCCTGAGGTTGCCCAGGGATCAGCAGCAGAACCAGCACTGAAACTCAGACCTCGGGCCTCCCGGAGCCATGGAGGAGTGGGCAGCACGGATACCCCCTCCCTGAGCACCTGCCCTCTGGAAGGTAGCTCAGGAGGGGCTGCCCTGCCTGCTGATGGGAGGCAGGTGGCACCGCCACCAGCCCAGGCCAGAAGCGGCAGCGCCCAGCTCCCTTTGGCCTGTTGCCTTCCTGGGCTCTAGGGAGCTCTACGGAGGCCCTGTTTCTGGCCAATCTGAGTGAGGAATCTGGGAGTGGGCCTCTGAAGTGTGGGAGACCCCCAACCCCCAGTCCCTGTGAATAGAAAACGTGGACCCTGAGCCCATTCCATGCCCCCAGCCCTGTGTGAGGCACTCTGGGTGCCGAAAGAGGCCTGAACTCCGTTCCTACCCTGGGGACCGTGGGTTGACCCTGAGACACCACCATGGACTTGCCAGGACAGCTGGTCCACTGTGCTGTCAGTCCCTGTTCATGAGAGTGTGCTGTGAGCCAGGTTGGTGCCGGAGGGGAGGGGCTTCTGGGGTCCTGCCCTCGGGGAGCTCAAAGCCTGGGTCAGTTCCCAGAATCAAGGACACTGCAGCCAGGGAGCACTGGAGCCCTCTTCCGGAGCCTGCAGTGTGGGGTGGCTCTGGGGGAGCAGCCAAGGCCTAGAGTACTCAAGCTGCAAGCCAGCCACAGGGGAAGGGGAGGGTAGTCACAAAACTCTGACCCAACTGACCAACCTCCTGGGAGGGACCTTGAGATCCCTGGTGGGCACTTGCCAAGATGTATTTCCCCAATACATTAACAGGTATTCCTAAAAAGGATGGGTTCTGTGGATAAAGAAGTTTGGGAAATGGTGGAGTAAAATTAAGCAATGTCAGGACCTCTTTGTCTGAGATAAGGGTAGTTTGTGGCCCAAACTCCTCATTTAGAGATGGCATATTAGAACTTTTTTGATTGTGGCGGAAAGAGGTTTGATTCAATCAAAAGAGGAATTTCTTGGCTTATGTAACTGAAAGATTCAGGTAGTTCACCTTCAGGCATAGCTGGATCCAGGTGCTTAGGGATTTAGTCAGGAATCTGCCTCTCTCTATGTCTTGGCTCTCCTTCCCCTAGGTTGGCTCTTCCACATGGCTGACTGAAAGCTGCCTGTAGCTCTAGGCTGACATCCTGCTAGCAGAGAGAGGGTGCCTCTTCCCCAGTAGTTCCAGCAGAAGTCCCAGAACCCACCCTGAAAAACCAGACTGTTAGCAGAGGGAGGA